GAGAAGAACTTGTTCTTAGTCACGGAGCTCTGCGGCGCGGGGGATCTGGGCAGGCGAGACGCGGAGGGCTTCCCATGCGTTGTTCAAGCTGGGCCCTTGTTGCGGCGCACAAAAGGGGGACCACACGCCAAGCGGTTTTTGAACAATGGTAGCTTAGCCTGGCAAAAAGGGGGGAAGCCAAAAGGAGGTTGCTGAAACAACATCGGATCAACCGTTTTGAACCGATACAGCCTCGTATTTGCCAAAGCAATATAAAGGAATAGTCCCCTTCAGATGAACATGGAACCGCAAAACTCCGTTGGATTTGTGTGGTGGAATCTCTTTTGGGCCCCTTTTTGGGCTTCCTCGTCCTCCGGCAGCGCAACAAAAACACCAAAGGAAGCCTGCTCTCGGTAGGCTGCTGTCCGCCAGCTGCGACGAGTTCAGCGCCGCAGGGCCTAGCTTTATCTCTTGCGGATCTGTAGCCGCCTCGGGTGGTGTGGGGGACATATGCTGCTGGCCGAGTTTTTCTTGCCAGTTGGGGATGTTCCTGCGCAGCCTTTCTGGTTTCGGGCCTGCCGCGAAAAGGCGGAGAGCGGGAGACACCAATGGGTGGACCTGGAAGCTGAGGGAGCCTGTTTGGGTGCAAACCCGACGGAAACATACCGCATACATGAAAAACGCTTCTGCAACCGGGGTCTTTGTATTCCCGGCTGAGACAGTGACATTCCGGAAGAAAAAACCTGGCTAGGCGCAAAAACGGGTCTTTCCCGGGTCGGCAGCCATCAGCCTGTTTGCCACTTGTGATTTCAGCTCGCAGCCTCCGACTTCTGACCGAACCTTCGGACTGAGTCCTCCATGGTCTCGGAAGAGGAGGCCTTTGAGCGGGGGGCCGAGACTCTGGGCTGGGGCGGGAAGCCGAGATTTACTTTTTTCTTCGTGTGTGTGTGTGTGTCGTCGTCTCGTATTCTGTTGCTTCGTTTTTTTGTTTGGTGTGTGTTGGTTGTTCCTTGGTTGTTAATCCTTTTGCATTGCGGGGGCTGCGGGTGGGGATGTCCCAGTGAAATCAAGTGCGGGTGCCGTTTGCGAGGCAACCCCTTGCGGGAAAAACGGTTTGGGTTGCAACCTTCTGCCGTGAGCTTTCCGACCACGTGTTTTCAGGGGGAAGTGAGGGGAAACGGCCAACAGTTAAAACGCATTCCTACTGCCTACTGCATTGTTGCCATCACGGCGAAGGCATGTAAGGACAGAAAAGCGACTAGACAAAAGGTGGAGCTGCCTGAGTAGACAATCCTCACACTAAAGGATACCATATATAGGCGTCCCTGTACAAAAAACCAAAGACATGGTGGTTGTTGGGAAACATTTTGCATTTTTGCTTATTGTGGTTTAGTGGGAAATCCCCCACTGAACAGCTAAAATCTAAAAATTGCTCCCCTTCCAACGTCAACCAAGAAGAGGGCAGCGCAAGTCAGCCCCGAGCGACCAGGGCTTCCACCCGTTAGGATCCTCAAGCAGATCCTCAACAGCATCGCCGGTGTCCCAGCGAGCGCTCGGGCCGGCAGAGATCCTCCTGGGTTCACAGTAGAGCAGTAAAGCAGACCTTGCGGGATTCTACATTCCTTTGGCGAGGGGAAAACAAGCTTCTCATGACGAAATGGTGCGCTCCCGACCTTCCTGGGGACCGCAAAGAGTCGCCAAAACAGATTTCCCCCCCCCCCCCCAAAGAAAGAAGAAAGGCGCAACTCTACCGTTCACCCCGATTTTTTATCGCCTCGTGGTTGCTGAACAAAGTTGTGTGAGTGTGTGTGTGTGTGTGTCCCGTTCAATCGATGATTCTTCATGTTTGGTAGGTTTTACCCCCCTCCCCCCCAGAGAATTCTGCTCCTGGGTTCTACCTACATCCCGTCTACATGATATGTGTGCGAGCCCTTTACCCCAACCAGAGCGGGCAGGGGTTAGAACGCCCGATTTGTCCCAGGTCTACTTGCACGGGCGGGGCATCGTGCACCGTGATCTGAAGCCAGGCACGGCCAGCCGTCCAGGCTGTTGGTTGCATAGGAGGGGGAACCGCCAGAATCCATCTTCCAAGGGCTATCAACAGGTGCCCGTATTCTTGGTGCAAATGTTTGTTTGTGCGCCGTAGCAAAAGTGGAGCGGGGCGGAAAAAAAGGTCAGTCATGTAAAACCGCAAACCCCCTAGTCAATCAAGCAAGTATCCAAGTCACTTTTGTACAGGTTTACTCCTGCGCGGTCAATATTAGTCTAAAACTCGGGCAGTTCGGTCTCAGAGGGTTTGAGAAAACTGCCCTGCATTGTTTGCGTTTTCATTTGAGAGTGTTTCTTTTTGGGCGGCCCCTAGTATGGTCTATCATTGTTTGATCCAAACAGCGGCCTGGTCTTGGCATCATTGACTTCGAGAATAAGATAAAGCTTGATATCGGTGGTTGTGCTGGGCGTTCTGGCGTTGAACTTGTCTTGGAGGGAAACAATTGAAGAAGTTACACGGCTGGACGCAATCTTGTGGACAGGCGGGGCTTTGCAGCTTGCAGTTTTCCGCCTTCACAAAGCTTCTGGATTCCTGTAGTTGGAAGCCCCAAAGCCTGGTGCAACCCTTCTCCCCCGCCCAATTCAGGGAGTCTGAGCGGAGTTCGATTTCTCGGAAGGCAACTTCCTGTGCTGCGCGCCGGACACGTCAGATGACAAGCCGGGCCCTCAGAGGACATTGTTTGTGGGGGCTCGGGGGTTGGGCAAGATGGATGGCTGCTTGGGTGGGAATGTTTGAAGGAGAATGTTTGCCTTGGACTGTTCCTTGGAACATCAGCTTCTTCCCCTTCAGCCTACACATCTCGTGAACAGTCAGAGAAGACTGGTTTGAACATGAAAGCGGGCCCAGCCCGAGCAACCCAGACGGTTTTTTGACACATTCCCAGGTTGCTCAACTTTTCGCCCCCCATGGCAAGGAGCCCCGGCGGCTTTTCTCTCTTGGTTACCTAGCGGTCATATGTCAGCTTCGTAGTCTTGGAGAAGTGCACTACTGAGTGGTTCCTTTGCGACGGATTGGTCTGGTTCTCCGGAATCGGTTAGAGAGATGGCAGCACGTGCGCAGTGCTTGCACTCGAGCATTTCTGCACCCCAGGACGGGCACTTTAGGGCCCCTGGGGAAGCAAAATCGAAGCCTTTTTTGGGAGTGTTTCCTTTACTTCTTGTCGTATCCTGGGTGTGTGTGTGTGTGTGTCTTTTTTAGGGACGACGTTTTGGGGGCGGACACTAAATGGGACGCCGCGATTTCCTCCCCTATTTGACACATACTCCTATGCTCTTCATGTACCCAATAAACAGCCGGTGTGATGTGTAGATGGACAAATGGGCGCAGGGCTGCACATTTTTGGGTGTGGTTTTGCCTCGGGAAGCCAAGGAACGCCGCCCTTGCCGCCCGTTTTTGGGGTCCACATCCCCACTGTTGGCTGCGAGGTGCAGCGTGGCCGGGAAGATCCGGGTCATCAAGCTAGCGGACTTTGGAGTCTCCTCCTACTGCCATGTGAAGCGGGGGGTCCTTCCATGGGAGTGGTCGCGTTCGGCTCCCAGGTCTTGGCTCTCAGCCATCCGGTCCCTTAGCTGTTTGGCCTTTTGGCGTTTAGTGGTCCATTTAAGCCACCAGAAGTTAAACTTTGAGCCGGGGGATCAGAAAACGGGCGGCCCAGAGCCGGGATTGCCGTCGGATCTCCGAACGAACTCCGATATCCCAAGAATCACGGAAGCTGACGATGGGAGGGTTTTGGTTTTGGCTGGGCAGCCCCAAATCGTCCACTTCCATGTTTGTTGGAAGGAGGTCAAATCATCCAACTGTCCTAGGGATCTTTCAGTTTAAATGCAAAACCCCAATTAACCATTGGCTTGGAGGGAGCCCTTTTTAAGCTTGGCTTTAACAGGAAGCCAAAAGGAACACCGAAGCCATTTTGGAGGTCCAAACCCAGACAGCTCAACGCCAAGACCCTATTTTGAACAAGCCCAGACAGGCAGCTGATTTCGGATCCGAATCACCTCACTTTAAGGCACCCGCCTGCGACATTTTCTGGTACCAGTTTGAGGGGCTAAATGTCTGCACTGGTATCTTGCCATTCGGCTTGAATGTTCCCGCAAGCAGAAAACAAAAAGGTCACCATTGGACCAGAAGCAGGTGGTCAGGTATCCCTGGCAGAGGGCTTCGCCGCAACTTTTCGAGAGAGTTCTGTCACTTCCACTGGGCTGGGCTGGTCTTGTCGGAGGTGTCCGAAAAGACCGCCATCCGGTTTTTGTAGATTCCCTGGCGACCAAGAAGCAGCTTGCTTCGGGCCGGGACAAGACAACACACACGCAGATCGCCCAAAAGAAGCCGGAGCGTAGCGAACGGAACCGGCAATTTGTGGTTCAGGACCAACTTGAATAGAGTCCAATACCCAAAAAGGTTGAGGACCAAACCAAACAGAGTCCAAAACCCAAACAAATTTCTCTCCTTCCATGTTTTCCTTCTCGGCTTCCAGGTGTATGCGGGTCGACCCGACCATCCCCGGCGTCCGGTGGCTCCGAGCGAAGCCGAGGCATCGGCTCACCCGAAAGTGCGGCACCGACGGCTTCATGGCGCCGGAGATCATGCGGAACCAGCCCTACGACCACAAGGCCCGCCCGAAGACGACACTGAAAGAGCGCAAAAACACAACAGAAGCCATTAATATCTATCAACTAGCCTCCCCAACTGACGCTGGGAGGGTTTAAGACAATCAACATCTATCAACTATTTTTCCAATGGACGCGAACGCTGGAAGGGTTCAAGACGGGGGTGTTGGGGTTAGATTTCGCGACGCATGTCTTCTAAATGATGCGGGCCTGTCTAACCCACCTCTACGTCTTCTATATGATAAAGTGGTTGAGTATCTTCTATGTCTATATCTTTGTGTCGCGAAATATACCCTCCTAGACCAAACCATGGCACCTGTGAAAAGGCATTTGGATTAAGTTCCTCTTGGGGAAGAAACTGTCCACTGGTCCAAGGCGAATCAACCTTTTTCACCTTTGTTTTTCACCACTTTCGGGAAAGGTCCCAAAAGGGTAACCTGGGTGTTTTTTCACTCGGGTGAAAGTAGATGATGAATCTTAGTGGGGGACCCTTGATGGGAATCAATTTTACACGGGATTTATGACCAGCAACCCTTTTTGAAGGGTTCCCCAATAAAATCCATGGCTGGCAGAATTGCCTTCTGTGGGAAACAAATAGGATGACTGGCCTAAAACTTGGGAGCTGTGCCATCTACACCCACTCCTTTCTTGGTGGTTTTAAAGGGAAGTCAAAAGGAAAACCTTTTTTTTTTTTGGGGGGGGGGTCTCCTAAAACGGCACCCCTTGTTTGGATTCCTTGCAAATCCCTGTCAATTGATAAGTGTGGGGATGGCCCCAGGTCATTTTTTTTTGGCAACTGGAGGTGGGCGAAAGGGTTGTTCCCAAAGAATGTAATTATGTGTCCTTTCGTTTTTTTCAACATCGCCCCTTGGAAGGCAAAAGTGACGCGTGCGTTTCCTTAAAGGACTGGTTAGGAAGACACCCCTTAGTCGGACTTCTCCAGCGAATCCTGGGATTTGAAGGAAACTGGATGGGAATCCGCGCATTTTGTCTGGGGGGTGTACTCTACGATTGCAGATGTCTGAGCAGCTGTGGATTGGCCCAACCCTGGATCTCAACACTTAGGGCCCCATTTGCACGTTGAGCCGCCACCCAAAGGAAGGTGCTCCAAAGCCTTGTTTGACATATGAGACGTTTAGCAGGCCGATTTCTGCGCGTGAGGCCGACATCTTCTCCGTGGGCTGCATTTTGAAGCTGGGCAGCGTTGGTGTGGCTGGCAGTTTTGAGTGTGACTACCCCTCGAGGGCTCCTTTCAGAAGTCAGGTTCCATGTTGATGTTGATGGATGGGAGCGCCATTGGTGGACCTTTAAATCCGCCCAACTTGTCCAGTGGCACTTTTTTACCCTTTGCTTGGTGGCTTTCTGCTGTCATGCCTTCTCATTGGAGCTGGGAAAGTGATCGGTTGCTTGGTTGAAAAGCACCCAAAAGGCCCGACGCTGATCGGGACTTGGGTAAGGATTCTCAAGGACATCGAACAATGGGATCATGTCCTTGTAAGTTAGCACAGGGGGGGAAAGTTACTTGGGACCATGGCGCAGTGGGGACTCTGTCTGGGGAATACAAAACGGAACAACAAGGACACAAGACCAACCATCCGGAATGATTTTGCAGCTCATCAAAATAACTGAGCTACTTTGGGTGGACGAAGTCTTGCACCACCTCACAAACCTTCACATAGTGATTCCCCTGTAAATACCAACACTGGTTTCATTCCCATGGTTTCATTTCGTTGTGCGATCCGAGGCATTGGCTCTTGACGGGCCATCCTCCCAAAGCCAAGGAGGCAGGGCGGTGATGCCATGTGCCCCCCCCCCCAGATCTACGAGCTTATGTCTTTCACCCCCTGGAGTGTGTTTTGGGGTACTAGGCTTGGTGTTTCGTTTTAAGGGTCAATATGGAGCAGAATCGGCATATTGTTGGGGGTTGGGGTGCTAAGGTACTTGTTTTGGGTTTGAGAATCAACAAGAAAGAAAGGGATAGGGCGGACCGCACAGGAATTGTTTGGCGAAGGGATGCCCAGCCAGGCGCCTTTTGCGCCTGGACAACGAAACCATTCGCAAGGAGTACTTCTGTTCCGACTGAAGCGCCAAGCCGTTTTCATACATGTTCCCTGAATTGTTGTCAACGGAGCTGTGTCGACCTTTCGAGCCGAGCTGGGGCCCCCCAGGCGCAGGAAGCATTTTGCGGAGGGATTCCCGAAAAGACGCGGGGGGCTCTCAGGCCAGAGAGGTCCCTGTTGTTTTCTCCAAGTCTTTTTGGGCGGGCAAAACAGGTGGAGTGCAGATTCGTGCTCTACTAAATGGGTGGCACACGCATGTTTGACCTTTGATCCGCAGGGTTCCAATTGTAGACCCGGGGCCTATTTTGAAGGGCGGAGGTCCGTTTCGGACGGGCGACCTCATGTTTGCTTGTCCCCTGATTTGCATAGGGAACCCGCCGAAAAAACCAAAACAACTACGCCAGAACCTTGAACAACAATTGCCAGTGGGTGGGAAGCCGCAGGTGAACATGGAGCCCCAAAGAACCCTCCAATTTTAGGACCAATGGCTTGCCTGGGCGGGACACTTCTGTTGACAGGATGGTAGCTATGTCATGAGCAAGATTCGCCTGAACTTCGTTTCTGCGGAGGTGCGGAGAGCGAAACGAGAGCGACATCTTGGGACGGTTTGCTACGACTCCTTCAGCTCCGTTTCGGCGTCTTTGGTGGACGATATAGGAAAACGTGAACTTGGCGGATCATTTTTTGGAAGCTCCGGAATTTCGAAGCTGGAGTTTCCATTTCATAGGTCCACCTTCATTTTGGAAACAGGGAAGTTTAGCAGCTGGAATGGAATCCTTTTCAGAAGTAGGCACCTCCCACAAAGCAGAGGTGACCATTTTGAGACGTCGAAGTCGCGCACGGTCCTCTCAAGTGGGTGGGCTTTTTTGTACGGACCCGAAAGGCATGGTGCCTCTGGAAGGGCCCAAAACAAATAGACCCAAGAGATGCTAAAAGCCCGTTGAGTAGTGAGCCCAAGAGCCCCACTAAAGATTGGGTTGTGTATGGTTTGGTTGCGTAAAGCGGCAAATGGCAAGTTGCGATGACTGGAACAACTGCTTGGTCTTTTGCTGGCACCTGGAGAAAATGGAACCCATCCAAGTGATTACAGGGCTTCTGGAATGCCGCCTTGAAGAGTACCAAAACAGCTCGTTTTGAGGACATTCCACAATGCTCAGCGTGGACAAAGTAGTTTGACGAGACAGCTATGCTTGCCAAGTTGACAGCTGTTGACGAGACAGTTTGGTTAGCATTGACACATACCAAGTCTCAGCCTGGTCTATGAGAGTACGATGTGCTGTTTATTCCGGATTTGCTCATTTTACACATCTTTGTAGGGGCCCCCTCGAATTCCACTTTCGGCCCATTGCCTTTGTGGGAAAGACTAGAGTGGAACGGGGTCCCAGGAACCTCCTAAAGATCCTCTTGTGGAAGGATTACACCATTGCTTCGGTTTGCCCAGCCATTTCAAAAGGATTTGCGGTTCAACTCCACGCGCAAGGCCCTGACAATTGTTTTCTTCCGCGACCCTGTTTCCCTGTTGGGAACCCCACAAAAGCACCCACGGGTTGCAAGGCTCTCAAAACGGAGCACCGTTCGGAGCTCCGTTCGGTTCCCCGGGCGCCTGCGAAATCCAGGCCAGGGATTTGGTGCACTCCCTCACGAGGCGGGGCGGTGGCTCGCTGTTGTGAGGCGCAAGGCACAGCCCCATTTTGGGATCGGTTGTGTCCCCTGTTTTGACAGTACACAAAAATCGGGAGTTTCATGGACATGTACTACCCTTTCAATGAGTAACTTGATGAGGAACTTGATGAGATGCCCCTTCCCAAGTAGTGCCGGGTGGAAAGGATCGAAAAAGCATGCTTTGCTCCAACTCCCAACGTTTGAATCTATTTTGGATGGTTTTGGAGGGAACCCAACTTGACTGCTATTGGGTTGGATCTTTAGACTTTAACTTTCTGGTTGAAATCAAGTTGGGTTTTCCACTAAGCCTCCCAAAGTTCAAAACTTTTTGCAGGGGTCGTTGCAGCAACCAAGCCAAGAGGAACCATTTGTTTGGGTCCCTTGGAGCTGAGAATCGCTCGCGGATTTTTGGAGATGGGGGCCTTAGGTGCCACCTATTTCTGTGGGGAGTTTTGTCTAGGGGTCCGGGGATTTTGTTTTGAGTATGGTGCCAGGCGATAGCCTATGAGGCGAGTTTCTATCGCTTTGTCTCATATCACGCTGCCAACCACCGAACGTATATTGAACCCCCCCTTCCCATTTTTTCCGGGAAAAGTGGGGTACCCTCAACAATGGCTCGTCCATGTTGACTGACCGAGGGCGTCGGTTTGCATTTGGGTTGTCCTAAGCCAGACAGGGGGTTCCATCTGCTCATTTTGTTTTGCCCTGTTGGCTTTCAAGGGAATCTATCACTACTGGAAATATGTTTACTTTTTCCAGGGGGCCAAAACGCAAATGGCAGCCGACTATGAGCTGTCAGAAAGGTTCCCTTCCAGGCCAGAGCCACAAGAGCGGCCTTCGGCGGAGGAGGCCGGGAGAATGAAGGGCTGGTGGAGTGGTTTGGTTTGTTGTGTGTTTGTCGTGTTTGTGTTGTTGGTGTTTTCTGTTTGGGCGGTTGTGTGTGTTTGTGTTTGTGTTTGGGTTGGGATTTTGCTGCTTTGTCATGTCTATGTTGGTTGTTTTGTCATGTGTGTTTGCTTGTTTGCCTGCTTGCTGTTTTTTTTTAGCTCTGATCGTTTGTTTGCTTGTTTGCTTGTTTGTTTGTTTGCTTGCTTGTTTGTTTTGTTTGTTTGTTTGTTTGTTTGTTTGTGTGTTTGTTTGTTTGTTGGTTTGCTTGTTTGTTTGTTTGTTTGTTTGCTTGCTTGCTTGCTTCTTTTTTTTTGTTTGCTTGTTTGTTTGTTTATTTCTTGGCTCGCTTGCTTGCTTTGCTTTGCTTTGCTTTGCTTTGCTTTGCTTTGCTTTGCTTTGCTTTGCTTTGCTTTGCTTTCTTGTTTGTTTGTTTGTTTGTTTGTTTGTTTGTTTGTTTTTTTGTTTGTTTCTTTCTTTCTTTCTTCTTTTCTTTCTTTCTTTCTTTCTTTCTTTCTTTCTTTCTTTCTTTCTTTCTTTCTTTCTTTCTTTCTTTCTGTCTGTCTGTCTGTCTATCTGCTGTTTGTTTGTTTGTGTGTGTTTTGTTCTGTAATTCGCACCCGCAGAGAGTTTTCAGACCCCGAACCTTCAGTGGTGCCCTTTTTCCAATTCCTGCAGGGGATTTCCTTTTAAACACAACTGCCAAAAGAAGAGCACTCCCCTTAGGGAAGGCAGGCCTGACTTTTGGCTTCGGCCGGGATGTGGGCTCCACTCACTCCAATTTGGGGTGGGGGGTGGGGTTGGGGTCTTGAGCAATGTGGCGAGCTACTGTGGATGGACGACATCCTGCATCACTTTGAAGCCATGGGAAATTATTTGTTTGGTATTGACCGGGGAATCATAGGACTTAGGTGGTGCGAATTGAGGTTTTCGCAACCACCCACAGTATTTAAAGAAGAGGAAACCGTTTCCTGGAAATCCACCGGGTCGAGAATGGTCAGGTGCTGCGGATGCCCTTGCTCCGAACCTCAGTGGAGCGCCTGCGGGCGCGCTCGGCGCGCATGGACGCGCAGCTGCTGGATCAGATGCTGGGAACCCAGGCAGGAGCCAGGGTCCTCGCGGAAGCACGTGGAGCCCCTTCTGTCCTTAGACCTGTGTCCAAAAGGTCAATAAGGGGGCCTTTGGGGTCGCACCAAGGACCATCCATATGTGCCGCTGTCTAAGCTCCTTGTATCCCGCAAAGGACACCGCAAACTTGGGACGTTTTCATCGCTTCCCGCATGTTGTTGCGTTCTTGTTTTCAGGGCATCGCTCTCACGTATTCTATGCTCTCCAAGTCATGGCACCCGAACCAACCAAGCACACCCGCTATCACCCGCTTCATCCTTCGCGAGCAAGTAGCGCAAGCAATATTCACTCTGTGTTTGTTGATACATACAAGAGCAGGGCATTGCTTTTGGGACGCCCCCCATCGCTTCCCGCAACTTGCTTCACTTTTGGAAAATCGATGTCCGTCGAATACCTGTTCTAGACAACGCGAGTCTTGACGGTTGCTCATATAAAGGGCACATCCAAAACAAGATCTCCGAGAGTTCCCAACCACCCCTTTTCACGTGCACCGCCCAAGGGCTGCTTTGTTCATTTCATGTGGGGTATTGCCAACTGACATGCTCTCAGGAACCCCCAGTTGCTGGGTCCGTCCCCTTTAGACGGACACACCCGAAGTAAGTTTAAGAATCTCTCAGTTAGGTGCCGGGCCATCCCTCTGGTAAAGCCTGATTCGGGGACTAAGTCGAACTCAGAAAAGGATGTCAGAGGGAAGACCCAAAAGGAAATCATGGAGCCCAGCAAGTGCATTTCCTCGGAGATTCCTCGTCAACAAGGATGTGGGCTTGTCGTTTTTGGGGGATCTGGTTTTAGGGGGAGACCAAAAGGAAATCCACCCATTTTGGGGGTCCTTAAAGAAAGACACCCATCAAAACCTAGTGTTAGAATGGTCTGCCCAGAACCATGCAAAGAATTAAACAGGCACCCATTGCTGCTTGGGATTATCCCTTACTAGCCTTCATCCACCCGGGTTGGGAGGACGTGACTCATATGTCATGGAGGGCTTGGACCGAAGGGAAGGATTGCCGGCTGGCTGGGCTTAGGTACAGCTACGGCAGCTTCCCGCTCTTGAAGAAGGCGGGGAGATCCATCTACGTTATGTATATATATAATATATATATATATATAATATGTATATATATATACACATGAATCTGCTTTATGTTCTAATATATATATATATACACATTTTTGGGCGCATCTGTGTTTGTCTGCATGTACTATATTTATATATGCAGAGAGAGAGAGAGAGAGCGAGACAGAGAGAAGGAGAGAGAGAGAGAGAGAGAGAGAGAGAGAGAGAGAGAGACAGAGAGACAGAGGGGGAGAGAAGTGGGGAGAGCCGCTCCATGTCTCCCGGTGCTGAGACCTGCTTCTTATTTGGGTAGGTGTCAAACCGTCCACTTTGCTTCATCGGGTTGGTTGGTTGGCTTGGTGCTGGTTTTGCTTGTCAAACTACCCTCGGGTACTTACTTTTGTTGAAAGACTCCTAGACGGGCTCATGTGGGTGTGCCCTTGTTTGGGGCTATCTTTTCTTGTTTTTGCGACCGTGTTTCGAGTAATCTCCTTTTGGGGGACCCCTTTGGGGGAAAAAAACGGGTGCAGGGGAGTTGTGTAAGTACCCTAGCGACAACGTGTTGAAATGAAAACCCGTAGGGGTAGCCAGACTGAACCAACTTTTGGTCGTTTGGCCCTTTAAGGTAACCCTTTGGTGGTCTGGATTGGCGGGACTGGGGGTTCGAACCCCAGTTCCTTTTGATGCCCAATGCAAACCACCAAACCAAACATGCCAAGTAGAGGGCAGCTGATTTGGCTGTGGGTCAAAAATCGGTACCCAAGATCGAACCCTAGAAAATGGAAACACGGACTAAAACCTGCGGTTTATTTGGCGGCTTCAAATTTTGACCCATGCCCATTTCACGTCTCCTTCCTTTTCTCTTTTCGCCAGCATGGCAACGCGTGTCCCAGTGGAGCTGGGGGTGAGCGTCAGGCCGCCATTGTGGCCATGGCAGGGGGCCCAGGGGATGCGAAACCGCGCGGGTCGGCTTCTGGCCAGCGGCTCGCTTGTGTCCGATTTTTCCGGGACTTTGAACCCATGGAATGGGACATTGGGGGGCAAGCATCCGATATGAATTGAGTCAATAAGTATTTGAAGGTGACTGGGCAATAGGGAAGCATTCGATATGAATTAATTGTATTTGAAGGTCAATGGGTATTTGAAGGTCGACGTGATATGGGTATTTGAAGGTCGACGAGATATGAATGAAACAAACATCTGATGCACCCTGCAAATGGGCCAAGTTGAATGCGGGGAGCGGGGGAATTGCCCTTCCCGGTTCAATCCTTCGTCTCCAAACCCCAGAAAAGAGATACCCTCAAACAAATATCCTAATGCTCACAGAATGCGCCACACGCATTTACGAATTTGTGTCAAACTAGAGGGACCCCCGTAAAGTGGTGTTCTTCCTGAACACCAACCTTAATAAGGAAACCCTAAAAGCACACACAGACCCACACACAGACTCACATGGCCATGAATTTTAATAGGGACCCCCCTCCAAAATAGTTGGTGGACATTGATCCCCACCTAAATGATGTCAACCAAAGGGTCCCTCATTAAACAGGGCTTCTTAAAAGATACACTTTGCCCAATTGAAACATGGCTTTACCAAAATAAAGGGAAACCACCATTTACAAGGCAATGTTCTGGTATATAATGTTAGGATCCCTGTTAAAACTCACCCCCACCTGTCACATGGCAGCAGCGAGTCGTTCCAATGCCACGGGAGGTGACGCGTGCGGAGTCGGACGCGGACTTTGCGCCCAGCATCCAGCGGTTTATGCCCGGCAGCTCAGCGGCTTAGCACGAGTGCCGGCCTTCGCGATCGCAGTGTCGGTCAGTTGGTGGGCAGTACGCGAAGAGCCTCCGTTCGGTCTGTCCTATCTGGCAGCGGTGGTCAAAAATGAGGTTCCAATTCGTTGTGCTACATCGGAGTCCATGAAAGTGAACCATGTGGAGGGATTCTTGAAATTATATCAATATGGGTGTGGGTCAAAATTAAACCATCAGGGGACCGCCCGTTTTAGTCGTGGGTTCCAGTTACCAGGGTTCCATTTTTGGGCACCCATTTTTGACCCACAGCCAATATCATCATCATAGTTCAGTACCTGTCCATCTCCCTGGGCTCAAGAACACGCTTCGGCAGGTCCCTGGATCGGAACATGACCAGCGGCATCGACGCGGCGCGGGGACGGTTTTTGCCGCACTTCGGTTGGTATCTGGACTCGGGAGATCGGGCCATGGCGTAGGGCTAGGAATTTTGATAGAGAAATTTCCCCAAACATGGCGGGCGAGCGTCAATTGTTGTGTAAAGCGGAGCACCGCAGCATGCAGCTGGGAAAGGAGCGGGCGACCCTGTCGAAGCTATGGCCAAAAAGTTTGCTGAACCGGTCTTGAAGTCTTGGCAAAAGCCGGAGGTTTGCGAGCCCGCTGTTATTATTGATGGAAGTGGTGCTATTTGAGGACGCGCGCCTGATTCTTAAGCCACCCAAGGCACAGGAAGGATCAACGAGTCTCACTTCAATGGGTTTCACAACCTCCGGGATGTTTCCGGGATACTTCCTAGCACTTTCCGCCTTTTTTTTGGGGGGGGAGGGGGGTGGTTTTTGGAAAGTAAAGGGGCTCTGAGGTTCATGTTACTTGAAGGGAACATGGTGCCAGGAGGACATCTATGGTGCCCTCAGCGACGAGATGCCCGGCCCTCAGAGCTTCAGCGACACTTGGTGATCCAGGGTGTTTGGAATGAACCTACGGTAACCTACGGATTCTCTCAAAGGAAACGTTATGGGATTGTTTAAACGGGTCATTCCCTCATTCCCTGCTGAGAACCAGACCAATTCAAAGGTTGCCTTTCGCGCCATGCTGGACTTTGCATCCGCTCGGCAAACAGCCACGGTTCATGTGGCAGGTCCCACGGTTCTCTCTTCTCTCTTCTCTCTTCTCTCTTCTCTCTTCTCTCTTCTCTCTTCTCTCTTCTCTCTTCTCTCTTCTCTCTTCTCTCTTCTCTCTTCTCTCTTCTCTCTTCTCTCTTCTCTCTTCTGTCTTCTCTCTTCTCTCTTCTCTCTTCTCTCTTCTCTCTTGTCTCTTGTCTCTTGTCTCTTGTCTCTTGTCTCTTGTCTCTTGTCTCTTGTCTCTTGTCTCTTGTCTCTTGTCTCTTGTCTCTTGTCTCTTCTCTCTTCTCTCTTCTCTCTTCTCTCTTCTCTCTTCTCTCTCTGTTCTCTCTCTCTCTCCAGACTTTTCGACCCACCGCCCCGAAACACGCAAAAGGCACAGTGGAAGTCTGATTTGTTTGCATCTTGGCCAAGTTGGAATCTGCAAAACCAGGATTCAATCCCGGAACCAGATCTGGGGGTGGTTCACCCCTTTTTAAAACCCTGCGGCCGCCTTTTGAAAGGAATCTCCAAAAAAGGCGGTAATTTTGACAACCCCCGAACAAAACAACGGCGTCTCTCAGGAACCCAAGAGCCATTTGTATTTGGGGTCCCGCTTTTTGGGTTCATGTGACAGATGGTCACCACACAAGGCTGCAGGATATGCGGCAGCTGGTGCGGAATTCCTTGCCCAAGGCTCGTGGGAAGGTTCTTGAGTTCTTGGGTTGGCGCAAACCAACGGGAAGGAGGAACACACCCATTCCAAAGCTTGCGGGTGCTGAATATTCCGTGAGCTTGGAATTACACCGTATGGATCTCATTTTTCAACAACCAGGTTCCTGGTGCACTTTGGAGAGGTGGTTGATGAAAAGGTGATCCTCAGACCGGCTTTCCGGGAGGGAACCGTGAGCAGCTCGGATGGCTTTCCCCACATTTTCCACACGAGCATCGTGTCACCCCAGTTCGGAGCAAGCTGGAGGTTTTCAAGCCAATTAACAAGCAAGGGGGCTGGGCAACACTGGTGACCCCCTCCCCGATTTTGGGACACCCAGGAAAGGCGGAACACAAACGACTCTCAGCTTTCTCCCACTTGAGATGCTGACGCTACCTAGTTGGTGATCCATGCGTTAGGCTTTCGGTTTTGGGAGCAGGTTTCGCTGTTGTCCCCTTTACCTTGCTCTCACAAGCGCCGAGCTCATCCCAATGTTGACGCGTTCCTGATTGGAGCGGAACGCGTCCGAATTTTTGTCCGGAGAGTCATGGGTGGCATAGGGCCAGCAGGACTTGACCCCGCACCCTCCCCGCTTACGTGCGCCATGGCCCCTACACTGCAGCATGCAGTCTTTTTGGGGGGGGAGGATGAGTTTCAAGTTCACTGGCCGTCCTGGTCCCGCTCTGGTCCCTTTCTGAGAACCCACACTAAGTCTGCCCCCAACAAAAAACGGGCAGGCCCAAGTTTGCGCCTGGGACTGGCTCCTCTGATTTTTTTGCGGCCTTTGTCCGCTGATCAAAGCGAAACACTCCGGCAGGCCCAGCGCCGCGCGTCCGGCCAGCCGGGTAGCCGAGAAAACCGCCGCTTCGCGCTTGGCGCGGCTTCTAAGCGTCGGCTTGGCGTCTGGGCGGGTCAAAGGAGATCCGCAAGATCCTTGGGCTTCGAAAAGGGGTGTCCTTTGTATTCGTTGTCAAAGAGGGATAGGGGATTTGGGATTGACCAAGCCTCAATGTTTGGAAGAACCCGGGTATCCATGTTGGCAAATCTTTTGAGTTTCCCAACAAGTCTGAGTCAACCTTTGGCAAGGCCAAGAGAACGGCAGAGCGCCCAATTTTCGCCGCATCCCTTGCGAAGATGGGTGGCGGGCACTTTTGGTGCTCACAAGAAAGCAGCGACATAGGGCCAAACCCCATTTGGATGGAGGAGCCACATCCAGCGTTTGGCAAACGGAGCCAGCGCCACGTGACTCACGAGACGAGAAAGCTGCCGGAATGCAACCACTCTCCCTTCCACGACGGAGCCTGACTGGGCTGGAAGATCAGAATCCTTTAAAAGGGACCCCCAATATTTGTGGACCGCACGGAGATGGGTGTGGCTGGCAATGCAAGGGTTGGAACTCAGCCTGTTGCCTATAGCTGGGCACGGTAGCCTCGTGCGCCTCATCCAAGTTAGCCCTGAAGTTGAGCAAGCTAGCCGTTCAAGCGACCAGAGGTGGTTCGCGTCAGGGGGTGCGGCCTTTTGGGGGGCCTCAAGCCAGCCCTGGCGGGCGGGTTTCTGGCTGAGGCCCAGCCGCGGGCAGCTCGCCTCCGAGAAGCAGAACAGGCGGAGAAAGAACTGGGAGAGAGGGCCCTTTGGCCTTTTTTTTTCCGCAAAGTGGCCCCGGTGGTGTGCTTTTTTGCACATGTTTTTGGCCCAACAGCTGGCATCTAGGGGGTCTTTGCCCGGATAGGTTCTGGGGTGGTTCGGAGCGGGCTTTTTTCCGTTTTGCTTGGAAGGGTGTCCCTTGAAAATCAGTTCCCGAAAGGGCCACTTGGGGTCTGGGGGACGCCACTTTTTGCGCTGGGTGCAAGTTGAATCCTTGTCTGCATGGCGTCTTTCAACAAAAGTGGCATTTGCAGGAGGCTAGATGGAAAATACATTTGTTCCTCAAGAGCACCATGTTTGTGGAAGGGAGGGTTTGACAGCCACTCGTTTCTGGCGGAGTTTCCCCTTTGGGGAACCTCCTAGCAATGGTGTAGTTTGGGATGCAAACAATTGCGTTGCAACGTCTGGCAAAGAAAAGGGCCATCTTGACGACGTGTGGTCGGATAGAAGCCTGCACCAGTTCGGATGGATGAACCCCTATGCTGGGATAAACCACTTGTGCAACTTGTGCACTTTGTCCATCCACCCATCTTATGTGTCAAACTTGGGGACCCCCAAAATGGATCGATTCTCTTTGAATTCCTGTTTTGGTTCCAGCCCATTTGTGGGGCACCGAGCCGACGCGTGCAGAAACGCATGAGGCGCAAACCCCGCTGACCCCACCCCCGGTGACCACCCCCGCTGCCAGGCACCTCCTCGTCTCCATGGTGGAGCGCTTCCGCTCGGAGCGGGGTTCAGGGGGGGGGATTGGTTCTCCAGGTAGACCTTACCGGAAAGTCGGGGAAAAAACAACAACACCGCTATAACCTCTGGTTCACAAACTGAGAAGTGAGAGATCGTCAAGATGAAACCCATTTGAACCCTTTCATTCGTCACCTCGTTTTGTGGGAGCATTCGTCACGTTTTGTGGGAGCAGACAGGGTGATAGGATTCCCTGCCCGCCCCAGATCTATGGACCCGTTTAAACCTCCGTGGAAGGTGGCACACGAGCACCGCATTTGGTCAGCATGCTTCCACGCTTGAGATCTGCTATGCGGTGGTTTGAACGGCAAACCATTGTTTATTGTTTGTCGACCTTGCAACATAGAATCAACATCGGAGGAGACTCCAGGAAAAACAGAAACAAACCCTGCCTCCGTTCCTGCTGTACACGTGTTACATATAATGCGTATATCATATATATATATACATATATATATATATATATATATATATATTTCTATGTATATCCTTTATATGTAAAGGTATCCCCACCCCCTTTAAACATGCAATTGGGGCGGGGGGTGACCCCTGGAATTCCATTTGTGGTTCCACCTTCCCTTTTGTGCAGAAGGGAAGACTAGATAAATGGAATTGGGGACCCCCCACCCCCCTCCTCCTGAAGGTAGGGGGGATACCAAGGTGCCATTTTTCCCCATTTTTGACCACCACGGCCAAGCGCAGGACCTGCGGAGCGAGGTGGACCGCCTGGTGCACAAGGTGGACGCCACCGGCATGGGGCCCGGGCGCTCGGACGGTTGGCGCAGCTGTCCGGAAGCCTTTGGAAAGCGGTTTGGACGAGGGGTAGGGTTCTCATTTGGACCAGGGATAGCCTCAGATGTGGGTTTTGAGTTTCAAGTTGCTGGTTTAATATGGAATATGAACGAGAAGATAATGAGTTTGGGTGTGAGGCTTAGCCAAGAAAAGTAGGCGACGAAGTACCAAGGGATGGGGTTCTGGGAGGCGAAAAAGCACCCTAGTGGAGGTTGAATCTGCTTTGTTGAGTTGACCTAAGCCTTTGTTTCCCTTCCAGCCACTAAGAGGTTGCTGTTTAAGGAACCACCGTGCCAGGATTTCCAGAGTATCTGCAAATGCGGCAAAAGGCCAGGTTCGCACAACGTGGAAGAGCTCTTCAACAGTTGATCCTAAATAAACAGTGCGACTCTCATTTTGTCTTCTCGTATGAGAGGAGAACTGTAGAGAAAAATCCTGCTCAGTGAGCCGGACGGCCTTTTCTCTATCATACAGGGGGAAAGGGCCCCCTTTTTTTCGCCTTCTCCTTCCTGTGTCTCCCGAAGGCTTGACAGTGAGGAAAGACGAGGTGATAAGAAAGACACAGGATGGGAAGGAATGAACGGTTGGAGCTGTTCCCTTTGTCCCAGCTCTTGGTCTAACCGTTCACTCACCATCCCTCACTCTCTCCTTCCAAGCCTTTCTATTCCTCACGTCATAGCGGCTTGGCTGCAGAGTGAGGAGAGAAAGAGCGAGAGAAGAGAGCGGGATGGATATGAGAGTGAAATAGCCGTCTACTCGCTTCCTCAGCTGCCAATGAATGCATCTTCCGAAACCTCTACTTCAACAGGGCAGCCACTAGCTTGAAGCACCGGAGCGAGTGATTGCCAGCTCTTGGCTTGAAGCACGCTGTGTCGTCGGAGTCTTGAAGCTAGGCCTACTCAGCCAACTGCGCCGTCCGAACAAACGTATGAGTCTGTCTTTTCCAGGTGAACCCTCAAAATGCTGGGTTCCCTGTTGGCTTCTTTTTAAAACCAGAACACCAATAAGGCTTTGGCTTTAGGACCACTAGCCTCTCACGGGTAAGGCTACAGTCAGGTCGCCGCCTTCCCCGTCCCCTTAGAACGCCACCTCATGGATGGATGCACACAAAGTGCTCGCCATGGCTCCTACTTATATAGACTCACTTAAAAAGAGACCCTGAGTAAGGCGCAGTGCATAACGTGCCTGAAGCTGTCACTTGACTCCGGCTATAAGTTGCAACCTGCACGCTCGGGACCCAACACTTGGGGCGCAAAACAGATCTCCACCAAACCACCTTGGACGAAGGTTCTGCACATGGGTGATACTACTGGTGTCATGTTCAGTCTCCCGAAGCCATGAGGGTGTTTGCTCGCTCAGGCACATCAGCTACTCCGAGTGGCTGGCAGCCACCGCAGACCCGGCGACTGGGCACAGATCCGGGCAGGGTCGACCGGGATCCCAGCTCAAGTCCCTGTTCCCCTCTCGGATCCCCACTTCGCCAGCCCAAAACGGACCAAAAGGATCTCTGCCAGGGTCGCTGGGCAAGGTCCCTGAAGGTGGCCGATTTGTTTTGGGGCTGACATGGGAAATCCCCGAGTTCCGGCGGCGTGCCTTGAAATCGCCTGCGATTCGGATGGCCTGACGTGAGCGTCCCATGGGCGGCACGGCGTTCATCTTGGTTCTGAGGTGTCTTCCAGGAAGGGTGGGTGAAAGCAAGGGTGAGAGTTATGTTCCATCTTGGACGTCTATGGCTTGTTGCTTGGGGGAGTCGCTTTTGTTTGCACGGCGAAAACCCTTTGCAGGAATGTCAAGAAGGGTTGAGGTGCGTGCATTACACAAGGTTTCAGCCCAAGACTCCCACGACGGCGGTATAAATTCTTCTTTGGGCTTTGATCCTTTTCTGAAGAAGCGTACAGGTGTCGCGTCACGGGCTGCAAACTGGCAACGGACAATTCGGCCGAGTGATGCTCGTGAGGTTTGGTACACTCATCCCGCCCACATCAGCGCGACCTTCAGGCCAAGGGTGGGGTCGCCTTGAGCCTGCGAGCTCCCAGGCGACCTGTGTGGTTTTTGGGATCAAAGGCCACGCGCCTTCCCTTGAGAACTTTGTTTTTGGAGTAGTTGCTTCCCCTATCTTGAACCGATGCCTGACGTCATGGCGAGGGCAAACATGGAAAAGTCTTCATACCTTTGGGTCAGAACTGTCGTTGTTTCGAGGGCCTGGAGCCGACTTCTCGTAGCTCATCGCTGGATGTGAAAATTCCCCGACCTTTCTTTTTTGGGCCAACAGATGGCAGGTAAAGATCGAGGCCCAAGCCAGGTTTGGGCGTGTCCTATTTCCGGGAAACCGATGTTGGTCTGGTGTCCATCTTGAGACGAACCCGCTTGGGGCTGGAAACAAGCGAAAGGGGTTTCGACAAAAGAGGCTCGGATGCCTCGCACGCCAGACTCTTCGACTTTGATGGGGATGGGATGATCAGCGAGGAGGACTTAAAGAAGATCATCCCCGATGCTGGGGCCCTTCTTCCAGGGTTGGCTTGGAAGATTTGGGACATGTCTGAAAGATGCGCGTCTTTGCTTGTTTCTTGGTTGGTGCTTGGGTCTCTCTGTTTCTATTTGTTTGTGTTTGTTCCCCACCCCTAAATCTGGATCATTGTAAACCTCAAGTGTTAGATGCCTGAGGTTGCATCAAGCATGAGCCGGTTCCCAAAATTATTCGACCAACGGGCCGTAGCTTCAAACAGGGTTTCCTACATTTCCCGTTTTGGAACCTCCACAAGTGGCAGTTTCAATGTAAGCCACCAGTAGATTGCAACCTTTGAAGGGGGAATCCAGTGACCCCCTGTCAAGCTGAGACACAGTGTCAAAAACCACGGTTTGTGGGAAAGTCAAATTTAAGACAAACTCTTGTAGTGGCTTCCCAGTAGGAATTGCCTGGGATTGGCCAATCCTACTTTGAGTTTTGAGCAGCCCTGTTTGATTGATCCACCGGATTTCCGATGGCATACTGGTGAACTGAACCGTTGGGTTGTTGGGCGTGGGCTGCCGGGCTGTGAACTGTTGGGTTGTTGAGCTGTTGGGCTGCTGGGCTGTTGGGCTGTTGGGTTGTTGAACTACTGGTTGTCAAGTACCTCCAGGGCGAGCATTTGAGTTTGGTGGTCTATGGTTCACCTACAGGGGGTCTCAACGCTCCGAAGTGAGTGGGCTTGTGGGATGTCGAGCTTTGCTTGTCTCATAGTGCAACCCCGAGAATGGCAACGGTGTCCTTGTGGCTTCCCTTTTCAAAGCCAAAAAGCGCTAAAGCCAATTGATATCCCCAGCGGAACTGAAGTCCGGAGCCTCGAACCTATCGAGCCCAAAGCTTCCAGGGTGCCTTACCAGGTGGGTATGGGTCAATTTTTTAAATCACCAGGAATTGGACCCCATATTTTAGTCCATGACATGTACCCCACCATCCCTGCCAAAAGGACACCTCTGCCAAAGCTGTTGCCTTTCAATGGGAGAAATGTCTCATTTTGAGCAACAGACCTACTTTCAACCCAAAGAAGAGGGGTCCACTCCAAAACAAGACCAGCAGCCAACCTAAACTTGACAAATGTTGCTTCATCCACCCTTTTTTGCCTGCAAAAGGAGAGGGGTCCAGTCCAAGTCCGGTCGAAGTCAAAGTTTGGGGTGGTTTCCCTTGGGCCGTCCACTTTGGGGGTGACTTTGAGCCTGAAATCATGGGGCCAGACTCACTTCTTTTCTTTCTTTCTTCCACCCCTTTCTTCCTTCATGTTTTTTTCTCCCTTCGAAAAGGTCAAGGGGTCCAGTGCCGTCCGAGTCTTTGGACACGAGCCCCGAGGTCTTCAAGAAGCTCACGGTCACCGCGGTCCTGGAGGAGGCCCAGCTCAGCGCCAAGGCCACCACCTGGATCTCCGAGGCCCATGGGCCGATGGGCCGTCCGACGCTGGGCGGGGCGTTGGGCCGTGGGTTTGGTCAAAGGGGGGAAGGCGCGGACTTTTGGTGGGAGGGAGAATTCATGCATTGACGATGTATCAACACGTCAATCTGTATATATATATACATATATATATATATACATGTATATGTATATTTATGTGTATATATGTACATATATCTATCTATATATATATATATGTATCAGATTCCTATTGTTTGAGGCAACTTTGATTGGGAGCTGCCTTCAAAGTTGGTGGACATTCCCGCCAGAGGGTCCCCAAATTCACCCGTGCCAGGAACAAAAGGCAGACGTTTTGAAGACTTGGAAAACCTATTGGGGTTTCAAACTCGTTTTCTGTTTTGACAACACGTGGACGTTTTGCGGGTGCTTCAGCACCATCGACCGAAGTTGTGTCCAGTGGGGAAATATCGTCTTTTTAGTGGTTTTCCCCAGTTGTCATCCCATGTAAAAGGACCTTTTGATCAGCCCCCACATCCCCAAGACTCACAGAGTAGTCGCCTTTTGGGCAAAGGACCCAACATCCTCTGCGGTTCCCGTGAAACAACCAGCCCGGGAGCGGCTCTGATTCCCCGCACGCGCGGAGGATTGCTTCTCCTTGCTGCTGCGCACACAGATGCTCGGCTGCGACCCATTTCGACGGGCTGTTGAACGGTTTAGCTTTGGGTTTCGGTACCGCCGGCTCTGTCTCAATATGACTTGGACCCCCCAAGACTGAGGGTTTTGGGAGTCCGAAAGGACACCACACAGCTGGAGGGGTCGCGATCTTGAGACATGCCCAAACCGATCAAGCCGGGTGTTGGGAATGCTGTGATACAAACCAAACCTCCAAATATAGCCATTGGTCATTGGTAAGGCCTCATATCAGGAGAGGGCAACGTCAGAACCCTGCTTCATTTGAGCAGCCTTAAACTCCCCGTTGGCCACCTTGGGTAGGGGTTTCTGCTACCTGGTTCTACGGGGTGTACATTGTATATATATATATATACACAATATACCTTTATCGCCATCCTACAACCCAGAGTCAACAGGTTTTCCAAGATGATTTGCACTACCCCCCAAAAACCAATGCCCAGAGGTTTCAGGGGATGCAGCAACTTAGCAACTATGTAAACTGTAGCCCCGTGGCCCGGCTTTGCGGTTTGGGAAGCCATTCCTCTCGGAGGAACGCCAGCGTCTTCACCCTGCAGCGCATTTGTGATGGTTGCGAGGATCCCGTGATGGGCACGTCATAGCCGCACTGTGCAAAATTCAGGGCCCGTCCTCGCGGGTTTTCATAAACGGGTTCCGGTCGCATGCGCCACAGGGCAATATAGCTGCGAACCGAACCCTTTTTTTAGAACCCATTGAACGGGACACTCCATAGGTGTCCGTTTTAGGCAAAGTAGTTTGCTTAGAAGTAGATGGCTCTTGTTTAGATGGGTTTCATTTCATCTACCAGGGCCATGTATTTTGTCAAAAGGTCACCTATGCCCGGGTAACCCATGCAATTTGCGGGGCGTTTGATCCTCCGCAGTCTCACCGAAATGTTTTCCGCTTTCCGCCTCGCCGGAAGAGAACAGCCGCGAAGGGGCAGACGCCCGGGCTTTCGCCGGCCTCTAAATGGAGCCAATCCCTGGAAACGGGAAGAATCGGTGGTTCCATTTCGTTCTTCCTATGTGAACATCGGATTTCTCCGGTGGACCACACGAATGAGGGGATTCGAATGTCGAACGGTAAGATGCCTGCTCATGATGGTCCTTGAGGGCTTTGTGGGGGAGATGCGGCCAATTCTGCTTCGAAAATGAGCAGCGCCCAAAACCCATCTAACAACATGATGCAACATATTAGCAAAGGCCTTTATAGGTCTAAATCTTATCAAGAGCCCTTACCCAAGTTGACCAAAGCGGGTTCGGTCGCTGCTTCGGTGCGTTCACAGCAAAAAGCGCGAGTCAGCATGCGGGTGTTTCTTAACACTAGGATCTCCTTCAGAAGGTTGCTTTCCTTTTTGTTTCCTTTGAAGCCTTCCCAAAAAGGGGACTGCTCTCAGGCTCTCCGCTTCCTAACTTCCTATCCACTTTTTTCCAGATGAGTCAGTTCCGGTGTATATATAAATACATAATATGCGTACATATACATATATATATATACATATATATATATATATACTATTTGCATGGTTTGTCTGCCCAAAACCTGTGGCTCAGGGAGAGGTTGGATCCACCGGGCCTTTCCCGTTTGGAGCCCGTCGCAATGCAGCGCCTTCTGCTGGCCTCGGCGGCTTGGGCCGTGGTCCGAGCGCCCCTCGGCGATCGGAAGACCGGAAGGGCAGAGGGGGGCATCCAGGAAACCTGGGTGTGGCTCAAAGCTCGCCCATTTGCTGAAGCATATTTTGTTGTTTCCCTTGTTGGCTGTGAAAGGAATTTGTCACTACTGATGTTTTTTTTTCAACACCCAGAGGCTCCAATTCGATGGATTTAGGGCCTTCAAAGAATCGGGTTTTGAGACCCGCAACCAGTGAAGCGGGGTGTCTAATGGAGGGGTCGGGTCTTCCATTGAAAGCCCCAGGAGCCTCTGGGCATGGGGCGACCCCTTTCTTTTGGGAAATGACGCCCCAAGTTCAAGTCAGAGGGAGGGGTAGTGGTCCCAATTTTGGGTGATGACTACCAGGTCATCATCGCTTTCTGTGATTCTACAAGTTCGCGCCCCAGTCCCTCTTGCTTGCCGCAAACACGTGAATCGACATGTCAAGCTTTTGGTTTTCCCAGGGCCCCTGGAGGCCAACCTTTGATTTGGGGCAAGTCAGATGGCTTGGGCGAGCTTCTGGCGGGATTTCGGAGTCCGAGCCGGTTGTTCCGTAGCTAAACAGCAAGGATGGGGTTGCGAACCAAATCAAGTCATGATCATCGCAGCATCATGTCTGTAAGTATTGAGTGCCTGATGTTATATCATTCAATTTGAAAGGAACCCCTATGCAAACGCGATCCATTTTTTGGCGAGGGACTCACTAAGACTTCCCACACATTTCTGCGGGGTGCTTTCATTTTTCCATGTCCCTCACGGTAGTTGCATGCTCTGACCGTGGGCATCTCGATGATTTAGAGGGCCCCCCAGTTTTGGGAAGCACCGGGAGTTTGGGGATCCGTGCTTTGGACTAGTCAAAAAAAAGGACTGACCGTTGTGGAAGGTCCAGAATAGAGCATTTGCAATTGGAATAGGTCCTCAGATGCAGAGTGCTCCGTGTTCACTCACTGAACATGAAGCCAGCGGTATGGGCGTCTTTGCCAACCCGGTTTCTAGTATGCCTAGTGCGGCGTTTTCAGCCGCACGCTGATTCTCTGCGGACTTTTGGATAAGCCACACAGTTGCCTCGGAGTATGCCGTGCAGCAAGTTGTTCACCTCATTCCAAAATGGGAGCCTCCCCTTTGGACGTGGGAAAACCAGGTCCACCCCCGGGTGTGGGACCTGCTTTGGTACCCTGGGTGCCAAGTGTTGCTCCTGCCCTAGTGAGTGCATTGTGTCTCACGACTTTCAAGCCAAGCTAAGTCATCATGAGAGAACAATGAAGTAAACAAAGGGTCTTCTATTATTCATTTGCGGGTCTTTTGCAGGGTGGCTTTAAACATCGAGTTCGCGCTTGAGAAATCCCGCGAGGGTGACCAAGAGGACCCCGAGTCGACCCCAGATAAAGCGAATAGAGCCCTTTTGCTGGGGCCCTTTCGCTTGAGCACAACTTAGGACGAGGAGAGACACAGGCGCATTGTCACTAAGAGGCGATTGAAGTTCGAATGAGATGGCCACCTGAATGAACTGCCTGTTGGAGGAGCCTTTGGACCATAATTCATATGAACGGACTATTTCTTTTAAGAGACCAGCGGTTGTCTCGCTTCGAGCGGGCATTTCGTCGCCACTGTCTGGAAAATATCTGTCATGTGAATCCAAAGTGAGGCTCTCATCCCCCTGACTTCTTTATACCACGGGGGCTCCCTCGGTATCAGGGAAAATCGGCCCGAAGAGCCAGCATGATCTAAAACCCAGGTCTGATGTGACTCCAGTGCAGAAGGTCATCCACATGCTGGATACTATGAAGGAGAAGGGCACCAAGGAGATGAATGAGGAGCAGGTGCAGAGCCTCGCATGCATGAAAGCGGCATCCTTTTCTTCGGTGGGTAAGTTAGTTTCCTTTAGGGCAACTTCACCCTCTCCGCAAACTAGGGCCCCCCAACTTGCCTACAACGCATGGGATACCTCTCCAAGGCTGGAAGACTTGGCTCCAGTTACAATGGGAGCTTCCATGTTAGTGTGAGGGTACATGACGCTCGCGACAGCCTAGGTATGCCAAGTTCGAGCAATTCTGCAAGAACACATTGGCTGAGAAGGAGAAATCCATCACCACAGCCTCAGACAAGATAGAGACGCTCGAGGCGTGCAATTGCGCGTTTTGCACCTTGCGCGCCTGACGGGTGCCTGACACATGCACATGTAAGATATATATATATATATGTATATACACATGCACGCCCACACATCTCAAAGCAAGATGAACATTTGCAGCCAAGCAAGGCGCCTTAGTACGGCACAATGTGCTCGAAGCACGTGATAACATATGCTGCTGCAAGCATGTTGCATTTGGGTGTCAGGCTGTCTAACTCTGTACGCTACATAAAAAAGCAGACACAACCTATGTCGTATACGATATTCATATTAACAATGTGTATGTATATGTATATATATACATTATACTAGGGTGGGAACCTACCCCAATGTCCTTTGAAGCGACAGGTGTATGATTAGTATGCGTATAATAAGTTACATGTTGCCACAATAGTTTGCTCAACGTCAGTGCAATGTTTACGCGATTTGTCGGGGGATGATTCGCCTTTCGTTGCATATTTGAACTCATAATATATATATATATATATGTATACACCCATATCTATGCACATCCGCGGAGTAAAGTGCAAAGATATGTTTAGAGAGGATCTTCGGGCTGTCAACTGGTACCCAAGTTGGCCCAAGGCAGCGCACTTCAGGCACAAAGGGAGTCTCCTTCTGACCCCCAAAAAAGCTGGGGTCATCACCCCAGAAAAAGAAAAGGGGTCATGACCCTATGTTTGTTTCTCGGATCAGAAGGAGACTCACCCCATGTTTAATTCGGCTCAGAAGGAGATGCCAGGTGCAAACGCAGCCACACCTAGGTCCCCCAGTAGTGCCCTTTTACCCTTTTTTGGGGGAAGGTTCCCCTACTAAAATAGACTACAGAAAAAAAGTCGGTACCCTTACTCTAACCTCTCTACTGGAGGACCTAGATGTTTGTTTCTCAGGTCATGGAGACTAACCCCAGGTTTGCTTCGGTTCAGCAGGAGATGCCAGGTTTCCCACGGAGCCACGCGAAACGGCACGGTGGCGGGTGGGTTTTTCCGGCGAGGCGGACATCGAGCAGGCGGTGGCGGAGGCCGAGCGGTTGGGTAAGGAGGTGACGGCCCACAGCGCGGACATCGAGAAGGCCACAGCGGAGAAGGCCGGGCAAAGTGCAACGAGCAGCCCCCGAGCTTTTCTTTGTTTTTTGCGGGGGGAGGGGGAGGTTGCTTTTTCTTTTCTTTTCTTCTTTTTGCGGGGGAGGGAGGGGGGGGGCGGGGGAGGGTGGTTCATTCTTTCTTTCTTTGATTCTTTCTTTCTTTCTTTGTTTTCTTTCTTTCTTCCTTTCTTCCTTGCTTTCTTTCTTTCTTTCTTTCTTTCTTTCTTTCTTTCTTTCTTTCTTTCTTTCTTCTCTCTCTCTCTCTTTTTTGTTGATTTTTTTTTTCGTTCTTTCTTTCTTTCTTTCTTTTTTTCTCTGTCGTTTTGTGTTTTTCTTCTCTTTTTTGCGGGGTTGGGGGGGTTGGGGGAACCCCGGTTTGGTTGTTTTAGAACCCCCGGAAATGGAACCACTTGAGGTTGGCAGCGCTGGGGTATCTATTCCAACTAAACCACTACCAAAAGGTTAATAAACAGTACTGTTCTTCAGGCCCCTTTTTTCCCACTGGGGGTAGTGGTTTGGGGTGATGAAAGGCCCATTTTCGACCGCCAGTAATTTTGCTCGGAGTTGTGGTGTTACACAACTGTTGGCAGCTGCCGTTTTGCGGCACCACGGCCAAACCAGGCTGAAGACATGGTGGTTTGTAATCTCCCTAAAGCTCAAACACCTTGAACATTTCTCTTGGATAACCCAAAAAGCAAACCACAACTTGTTTTGGTCCTGTTACATCATTGCTTGGGTGTGGTGTCCCTTTTAACCACCATTTCGGGATCCCATAGGCCATATTTGGAAGGCTGAAAATCGGGGTTGGGCCAAACCTTGTTTAAACAATTTTGAACCTCTTGTTGAAACAACCTCTTTTTCGTGTTCCTTTAACAGGGAAAAGGGTTTGATTGTTTGTATTATTTTGGTTAAATTTGATGGAGAATACTTTGCAGACTCAAGATGGCTCCAAGAGAAAGAGTGATGCAACCACTACATGAACACGAAACAAAGGGTACATGCAAAAGGCGTTCGACCCACCCACAAGCCGGCCGCCTGCCAAGCCCAACTCTCTCAAGGGCTGACGTTGCGCACTGCACTTTGGGTGTGCCACTGGGGTGGTACCCCACTGTGAAACCATGCTCTTGTTGGCTATGTACTATATCCTGTTAGTTTTCCTAAACCAACCAAAATGAGGTTCCTTCAAAATAACACAAGCAATTCACAAACAATGGTCCTTGGAAGTTTCCAGTGGATCTGGATTACTCTTGAAGCAGCTGGTCTCCCTGAAGATCGTTAGTTTCCCTAGAGTCTCCATTGGAATTCCCGCCAAAAACGGGTCCCATCACAAGATTCCCCGTCTAGACCGATTTTCTAAGACGCACGAGGTCAACCACACGTTGTGTGCATTTTATTTGCTTGGTACATGCCTTCGACGGGGGATACCACAAGCAACTCAGAGGTCTCCGGGCACCCCACGCGCCAAAAGCTTCCGGGCAAATCGATTCCCTGCAGGCTTTTGAAGTTAGTGTCAGGCTCTGCAAGCGTGTGACTCCTTTCAAGGTTTGAACAAGTGCCCAACTAATAGGTGCGAGTGCCAACCTGACACGGGTTCAGGCACGGGGGAAGTGCCCAAGAGTCAGCTCTCCAAACTGCGGGCCTCACGCGCCAAACGCCCCGCAGAGGACGAGGCCACGGCGCTGCGGGCGAAGGAGCGCGCCGACTTCGCCACGGCGCTGGCGGACTATACCGAGTCCATCGACGCGGTGGGACGGGCGCTGAAGGTGCTGAAGGAGGCGCGCGCCAAAATGGGGCTGTCATCTTTTTCGTTTGGGGGGTGCCCGTTTTTTTTCTTCTTTGGTTTGTTTTTGTTTTGCGTTTTGAAAGGGATGCCAAGAGGAAAACCACAACGTTTTGGAGTTGGCGTTTATTGGCGGTGTTTATTTACGGGCAGCTAAAAGAGAGCTGGCTCTGGGTTGGCTGCAAGGGCTTTCAGCCAGGAGAAGAGCTCCTTTGTGCAGCTTTCTGCGGTGCGGCAGCTGAAGATGGTGCCCAAGGATAGATCCAGATAGTTCACCAGCCATCCTGGTTCAAGGCACTCTAAGTTGCGGCCCTCTACGGGTTTAGGTTGAAATGGCCGGTGCTGCTTGAAGTGGGCGGCCTCCTGTTGATTTTTTCTGCTTCTCTGCTAACACCAATGCAACGTGGGGTGTTCCCCTGTCTCTTTTTTTGTCAACTGAGGTGGAACCAGCGGTTGAGCGTTGATCAACCATTTGAATGTTGAGGTGGCACATCCCGATCAGAATCAACCAGGCTCCATTTGTCAGGATGTTCAGCGCTGCCCCAACTCGGCGCATGTATTTTGACCCAACTCGTGGCCTCGCGAGGACACGGCCGCCTCCATCGATGCCTTCCTGGAGACCGAGAAAGCTGCGCCGGAGCCGAAGACCTACGAGTTCCAATCCGGAGGTGGCGGCGAATCGCAACGGTTTCGAGGGATGCCGATGCGGGGGGTATAATGAAGTTGTCATGATGTGGGTCTTTTTCTTAGCGGGATGTCCTAATTCTGGCAATTGGTGCAGAGACACTCCCGTTTGGATGACGACGTAGAGTCAGAGTCATTTTTTTTTTGGCCAAGGGTCCCAAAAAGCCACAAACCCCAAAAGAAGGCATCCTTCACTGGCACCGATTTTGTTAGAATCTTTTTTTTGGGAGTTGTTTTTCTTTTTGTTTGTGACACAAGACAACCACCACCCCAAAAAGGAAGTAGTGCCCTTTTTCCCCCATGGGCACTGGTGATCTGGGTATAGAGGGCGGCTATGGGATGATCGGCGGCCCCAAAGCAAAGCATGACGGGAGGTGTCATCGGCATGATGGAGTCTCTGCAGGCGCCGCCAGGGCTGGTTTCGGGGCGGCCCATCTGCCCTCAAATCGGGGGCCCGCTCGCTTTGCTCATTTTGCCCGACCCAAAATTGGGCACCCTCCCAAAAAGAACAAGCAGCGGATTGTGTGCTTTCGAAAGGCAAGCCAGAAGTTTCGAAAGACACTTTTGTCTTATGACCATCTGGAGAAATCTTTGGACTTTAACCTTTTGGTGGATTGTCCATTGGACCCACACAAAGTGTTCTCAACCTTTTGCAGCGGGTTCCATCGAACAGCAGCCCAGAGATCCACTCTTTCCAGGCCCGGGATTTTTGTTTTATGTAAGAGGTCATTGGTTTCACATGCGGGTTCTTGGGCTAGGGGCTTGAGATTTTTTGATGACTTTTCCCACTGGACCCCCTGGAGCCAGATGATTTTGACCCAGTTGCCCAGCGGATTCCGCCCCCTTTTTTTCCGACATGGGGAAGGGTTCCGATTCCTTTAAACTCAACCGCCCAAAGAAGTGTGGGCTCCACTCACTCCAATTGGAAGGGGTGGGGTCTTGAGCAATGTGGCGGAACCACCCAAACAAGGATGCCCATGATGCCCTTTTATTCCCATGGCTGTGGCTCAAAATAGGTACCCAAAATGGCACCTTGGTAAATGGAACCAAAGACTAAAACCTGCGTAACCCTGGCTCTTAAATTTTGAGCCACTCCCATGGAAATCCACCGGGCAGAGTTGAGAGCCCTGCAAGAGGACAAGTTCGTGGACGAGCGCGTGAGCCTGGAGAAGGGCGAGCAGGAGAAGAAGCACTCCTTCGCGCCTCGCGCTGGTGGGGTGGGGGGTGGGTGCGCTGGGGTGGGGGGTGGGTGTCTACCAGCGGTGTTCCCCCCAAACAAAAGAACACTCACGCGCACGCACGCACAAAGAAACGCCGTGTCGAAAACCAGCTCGACTTTCTTCGATGGAAGCCCCGAGCTACCGGGCCGAGGCGATGCTGGTCCAGAGCCTCGAGGCTCAGCTGGCCCAGTCCAAGAAGGAGACGAAGCGCGAAAAAATCCGCCGCGGCAGGTCGCATCCTTTCGGGGTCAGAGGAAAGCCAAGAGAAGATGTGTGTTTTTCTGGCCAGGTGTAAGGTTCAAGGAAGGTTCCGGAGGTTCCGGGGTGGTCTGGTGCAGGCCAGGTGTCAGCCCGCCGTGTTTTGTCACCCAGGCGGGCACCTCTTTGAACATTGAGTGAACATGGATGGGATAGTTAAGTTGTTTTCTGGATGATCTGGTCAACAGAAAATCAATGCAAAATAAGTTGGGAGTTCTTCGCCCTTCAAAAAGCAAAGCCCATCCCCAACCTGGAACCTTTTCTCCCAAGCCGCTCTGAACCACCCCGTATCGCGCCTATTCGCGCCTATTGACAAATCCGTAGCTTTCAGCCAGTCCATCAGGCAGCTCTGTCGCACGTGCAGTATGGCTTTGAACATGAGCCAAAAACGTGTCTTCTTCCGTGTCTTCTTCTGGCGACTTTGGCGAATTCCGCCTCGTCCAGTTTCACCGGGCGCACCAATCACCGGTCCACCGGACTGACGGCACTTGCACGGCAGGACATGGACTCCAAGAGCCAGTTCCAGGCTAAGCGCCGCCAGGACAAGGCGAGGGTTGGACACCTGCCGTTTTTTGTCCCCAGCAGCTGGAAGCAATGGATTTGGCCGATGGGCCCAGATGGGCGCTAGAAGGGGTGGTGTGGGGCAGCGGTTTCCTGACTTGCAGCCAATTGATCATCATGAGTCACCCGGATTGCACGAAGCACACAAACGACATGACAACATGCACATATAGGGCTATAAAAATATTTAACCTTGTAGATATTTTTCAAGTGTTCCTTGCTAAGTTTTGGGAGCTTTGGCTTGGGACCTACCTGGAGATCGGTGCAAACTGCGAGCTTCAGATTCTGGCGGTTGCCATTGTGGCAAGAGGCCTCGAAGTCAGGCCTTCCCCACCCTAGTTTTTTTGCGCTGGTTTTGGACATCCGCCGGGTCCTTGGGAGGGAGTGGGGCATGCTATTGAGGCATAGTAAGGGGAACCGTTGTACGCTTGATTAGGGCGCGAACCCAAAAAAACCCAGCGACTCTGAATTCTCAAGTAACCCTTGGGTTGTGGTGTTGGGTCGGCTTGGGGGTTTACAACTCCTGATTCTTTTTCGCAGATGGACGCCACCTCTCCCAACCTCCATCCCACCAATCCCAATTCGCGCCCATCCAAACTAGCAATTCAGGCCAACCACATTTTTTCCCGGCTTGTGAAAGATTGACCGATTGGTAGCATTCCTACTTTTGCTGTATCACCTGACCTACTGTGGATGGGCGAAATCCTGCACCGCTGAAGAAACTCTGCTTTCTGATGATTCCCCTTGAAACAAAACCAACCAGCAATGGCTTTTTACATGCTCGCTTAGGTGGTGCGAAATGGATTTCGTCCACAGCATGGGTATGGGGCAAAATGAAAACCACTAGGGGACCGCAGGTGTTGGTCCATGTTTCCATTTACCAGGATTCCATTTGGGTACTTGGGTACATATTTTTGACCCACAGCCGAATGAATCCAGGGGCGGTCAGCCAAAAGCCCAATTCGGAGGCCTCCAGCGAGGGCGAGCTGGCGGAGACCTCGCAGGAGAAGGCCTCGGACTCCAAGTACTCCAGCGATCTCCAGGCGAGATCTGAGCTCAGCCGCCCGCCCTTTGCGGGGGGGGTGGATCAGTGGTCCATTTACCCCTCCACCCCTCTGCCATTCCAGTGGTGGAAGTCATCTTGCGTGGTGGTTTCCTTTGCCTGGTCAACCAGGCCCAGCCCGTTTGCCCTTTAGAGCCCCCCATACTTCGTGGATGGTTACGTGAACTGCAGAGCAAACGCCAACATTAATTAAGACACCCTGGAATGATATTCGAATCCCTGCAAACACCAACAAGCCATGGTTTCAACCATGGTTTCAAAGTGGTGCAGGATTTCGTCCAGGGCCATGTTAGTAGTGCTAGCAGGAGCTGTAAACAGCTGGTGTCATTGAATGATCATTGGGGCAAGGCCTTTGGTAAACCTCCATCTTAGAAGCAACAGTCAAGTGGTTTCGGCGCTCAAGTGGGTGTGGCTCGCATTGGATTCCGCGTACCCCTCCCGGATTGGTAGGTTCAACCTTCTGGTCTTCTCTTGCAGGCTACCACATTTCTCGTGTGGTTTTGAAGGAACACAACGAGGAAAAACGAAGCCCTAATACTAAAAACAAGACACCCGTTTTGGGGTTGTTTTTTTGAGGGTAATTACCCTCTTTTGAAGGTTGAGAGGGAAACCAACAACCCAGGTAGAGCCACCTACTAAACATGGCAACTGTGTGTCTTGGGCGCTGGCGGCGGTCTTGTTTGTTGGGACCCCCTTTTGGCGGGCTTCAGAGGTAAAAGGACACCACGCTTTTTTTGGGGGTCCCCGACATTGAGACAAGCCCATCGATGAAGACTTTGTTTTGGACACGAATGGTTTCAGCCGGAGGCTACTTCCCAGCAATTGGGAAATTGTCCTAGACGACCACGGCGAACCGGGTAAAGTGACAACTCATTTGCGCTGTAGAGACGTGTGCGAACAGAAGCCTCATATCGGTGGTGCCCTGCCATTCCTTTAGCTTTTTGGCTTCTTTGCTTTTTAGGGTTCAGTGGGGGTTTCCATGTAGCCCGCTAACTAACAGTTCAACGTAGTTTGTTTGACTGGGATTGAGGAACCCTTCCTGAAGGTTTACCCCACTTAGATTCTAACCAGGGCAAAACATGGGCAGCAGGGGTTGGTGGGCATATGGATTTGTCTCTTTTTTCTGGAACACCTTTTTTGTTGGTTTAAAGGAGCACCAAAAGGAGAACCGAAGCCATTTTCCAAAAAAGACACGCCATACCATAGCCATCCCAGTGGATCCCAGTTGCCCATATTCATAGAGCAGGAAACCATTTTGCTTTTGGTCTTTGAGGGGCTCCCTTGGTTACCTACAAATCCAGGTAAATAGATCCACTGGGCCACGGTTCTACGACCCACGTGGCACGTGGCATCCGAGTGCCAGGCGACCTGCAGACAAAAGGCGGCCGCCTTCGATGAGCGCCAGAAGCTCCGCAAAGAGGACGGGATCGGGGGCGCGCGCGCGCCACGCGACGGAGGCGACTCACCTCCTGAGTTCCCGAACTTTAATTTGTTTTGTTGGGAAGGCCATGTTTAAAACTCGGTGAATTCAAAAGTTTGAATATTTTTGTTGGCCAATCCAGAAAGTGAGTCACTGAAGGAGCCCTTATTGACGGCGCCCTTTGCGAAAAATGCGTCGTGTGACGTTGTTGTTTGGACTTCGTCCGGGCGCCACAAGGCGCGACCTTCTCGCGTGTTAAAACAAATGACGCCCAGCGGACGCCGAGGTGTTTGTTTGCTGGTTGGGTTTGAGAGGAAGTCTGGTTGTCTTGTTGCTTGTCGGTTGCTTTGTTGTCTTGTTGGTTGTTTCGAAAGGATGCACGAGGGCAAGCCGGAATCAGTCTGGGCTGTTGCCATGTTGAGGGCTTCCTGCAGGGCCTCGCTCGCTCGCCTCGCTATTTTTCGATCTCCGCGAGGAGATCGAAGCCATCGGCAAGGCTCAGGACATCATTGCCAGCAACGTGGCGGGCAAAGCCGCGCCTTGGCAAAGGAAACGGGCCACCTGGGAACGGGATCGCGGGCGGTTCTTTGGAGAGTCACTCTCCGAGTGCCACGATCTCGGGATCTTGAGCCTTGGCCAATTTTTGCGAGACCCAATGGAACCCAATGGAAAGGATGGTTCATGAGGAAAATCCCACCATCAACGTGGTCGATTCCCAAACATCCCTCAACTCACGATCATCCCAGCAGCCCGTCGTCCATTTTGCCTCCCTTTGAACCTCCAAGGGAAAACCAAGGGCCCTGAAGGTGCTGATCTCCATTGTGTTTTCTTCTCCTTCGCACGCGGCCTTCCAGAAGCTTAAGTTATCCCCCGCCAGATCGGCGTTTTCGGGCCGCGAGAACCTGCATGTGGTGGGGGTTACGCTCCCGTCATGTCCGGTCGCGGTTCGCGCGCGCAGCCTTCCCGAAGCTTACCAGGGGGGCTCACCCTGATCAGATAAACCCTGGCACCGGAACCGCTTCCGAACCCCCAGCTGCTCGGCGGGATTAGCTTCAAGGGTGCCCTGAAGGACGGCTATACCATGACCACGTGAGGTTCGGTTAAAGTAGTAGCAGGCTATTGTTAAATTGAGAGGATTATGGGGACCTCACTGGTTCTACGATTGTCCTGAACGGTAACTGCAGATTTTGACCTAGAACTAGAAATGGCTTACGTGCTAAGTGTGTGATTCTTGAACTAGGAATCCATTGCCTAAAGCAGTTGGTTTCCTGGAGCCTTTTGGTTTCCCTTTACGCATCAACCAAAGGGAGTCCACTATTTGTCTCTCTGTGTGTGTGTGCGTGCGCGTGTTTGTGCTTTTGTTTGCGTGCTTTTTTTCGGGTGAGCCATTTTCACGGGGAAGTTCTTCTCCACCTGAACGGTTTTGTTTTTCCACTGCGTTCCGGCAAGCAGCGGAACAAGCGAGCGAGCAAGCAAGAAAGCAAGAAAGCAAGACAGCACGCGTGGGAGCACGCGAGCAAGCGAGCGACCAAGCGAGCCAGCGACAGCGAGCCAGCGAGCAAGCAAGCCAGCCAGCCAGCCAGCCAGCAAACAAGCAAGCAAGCAAGCAGCCAACTCTCTTTACATAAACTAACCTTAAGCCCACCCCAAACCAACAATAAACCCAAGCAGCGAAGCAAGCAAGCAAGCAAGCAAGCAAGCAAGCAAGCAAGCAAGCAAGCAAGCACGCACGCACGCACGCACGCACGCACGCACGCAAGCAAGCAAGCAAGCAAGCAAGCAAGCAAGCAAGCAAGCAAGCAAGCAAGCAAGCAAGCAAGCAAGCAAGCAAGCAAGCAACCCTAAACCAACCCTAAACCAACCTCAAACCAACCCTAAACCGCCCTAGCGCAACCCGAAAGCAAGCAGCAAAACTAAGCCGACCGCAAAACAACCCTAAATCAGCCCTAAACCGCCCTAGCTCAACCCTAAAGCAAGCCTAACCCGCTCCCCCGTTGGCTTGTTTGCTTGCTTGCTTGCTTGCTGTTTTTTTCGTTCTAAAAAGGTTAAGCTTACCCTTTTTCACCTCGGTTCCAAGGGAGCCCGCCGCGTCACCGAGCAGTCCGAAGACGAAAAAATTGGGGCCGAGGAGCAGCACCTGCCGAGCCTGCTGCAGAGGGCCTCCTTGGCCTTCCTCCGCTCCGAGGGCGGCCTTTCGGCCTCGGCCGCCGGGGCGCCGGAGGCTCTCGGGTCGGGCGCTCGCTCGGGGGAGGGAGGGCTAAAAGAGGTTGGTGCGAGGTGCGGGGTTTGAAAGGGTTACCATTTTGGGTACCGTGGCCGTTTTCAATCTTTTTCTTTAAACGGTTCCCTTGGACCTACGGGGACATGGAATCGCTGGCTCTTGTTTCCAGGCTGGCTTTGACCAATGCCCGCCCTCACTCTATGGTGGGACCACCTGGGCGCTCTGGCACGGTGTTCCTGAACAAGTGCGTTTTGTTTGGTCCCAAAATTAGCGGACACCTTTTCTTTTTCAGACTCCCCGGTGCCCAAGGGGTTTGAACCACCCAGGTCCTGCAATACGGTTAACTCCTTCCCCAGCAGCCATTGATGTGAATCATGTGTCCTGTTTACAACCTCTTCCCGTATTTAGTTTGTTCAGCCCACTCGTAGGTGTTTGTTTGTTTGTTTGTTTGTTTGTTTGTTTGTTTATTTGTTTGTTTGTTTGTTTGTTTGTTTGTTTCAACACCCCAGGTTGTGCTTGGCCCCCATCTTGAACGTTGGGACCGGGTTTTGAGACCTGCAACCGGTTCGACCTGATTTTTGGCCAACCGACGACATTTGTATGCGTCGAACTGCCGGATGGCTTGAAAAGGGCACTGTGGCCCTCTCAGAGTGATAATGTCCACACTGTTTGGGAAGAATATGTTGTTGGGGCAAAACCGTTTTGGAACCATTTTGGGGCAGCACCACCCATTTTAGTCAATTTTAGTGGGGATTGGGATGTTCACTGGGGCTACGGGCTTTTGACCCATGGCCATATGTTGTTGGGGCAAAAATGTGGCAAGGGTAGCGCCGGACATTTTTGCCCGCTCGAAACCGTTGGAGTACTACACATTTCATGCTTGAGTCCTCACCTGACTCTGGATCATGGTTATGATTTCGCGCTCGGTTGCGCTTCAATTACGTTCACATCACGTTCAAATTGCGCTGAAATTACTTTGAGTTGCGATCGAACATGTAATTAATTGAATTCTGTTCGAGACCGTTCGGAGTGGACAACTCCGTTCGAAAGCGGCTTTTCCTGGCAGAAGCGTTCGGAGGCGTTCAGCGTTGTTCGGCTGGCAGTGCAGCGTGTTCAAACAAAAATCCGAAGTGTAAAAATTGACCGACTGGAGGTAAAACAAAACATACTTCTTCCAGCCTGTGTGGAAAATGTAGCTCCAAGGGGGCCGCAGGTGAGCCTCAAAAGCAGACTTTGATTTCCTCCCTCATGATATGTGGAACACCCAACCCGACCTTGCTTCGACCAAGCGGATCTTTGGGTACCGGAAGCGCAACGAGATTTGTGGCTTGATTCGTGCTTTTGGTTTGATTTGAAGCCATGGTCCTTGTAGAGGGTAGTCGGACACTAGCCCTAACCTCCAATCCCGATGACCAATGAGAGGGAAGCTGAACAGACGGAACGGAAACAAACCGCAGGTGGCGCGTTTCCTGCAGCAGCGGGCCTCCCAGCTGAACAGCCGCGTGCTTTCAGCGGCGGCGATGCGTGCCGGGGCGGACCCCATGGAGAAGGCAGGGTTTGTTGCAAAATCAGGGGCACACCTCTGAATACAAGGGGAGAAATAGTTGCCAACATTATTCTCCAAATGGTCTCGCTGATTTTGGTTTTGTGGTAGCCCGGACCCCCATTCTAATTATTTAGTGCCTTGCATTAGACGGGGAGGTAGTTTTTGAGGCTCGGTACTTGCCTTGGTCTATAGGGACACCAAAAGGAACACCACCATATTTTTGGGGAAACAACTCTTGTTTTGACCCTTTGGGACGTTCCCAATTTTGATGGTTTGGTTTGTCTCCAAATTAGGTCTGTCCTTAAATGGGTTGGTTTTCCGTGCTGTTTGCCTTCGAACATCCCCCAAAAGGGGAGCTTATAATTGAAGGGATGTTTAGGCAGGGGGCGGTCCCTTTTTTTTCAGGGCCCACATTTCGAGAGTGACAGGTCTGTTGGAGAACCCATCTTCGAATTTTCAAGGGCGCGTGGGGTTTGAATGGGGCTTAACTTATCTGTTTTGTGCAACCAGTGGGTGGTTAGTGAATCGGTGTCGGCCCTGTGGCGCTTCGGGCTTCTTGAGAATGGAGCTCTTGGTGGATGAATGCATCTCATGTCTTGCTCACAGATGAAACCAGCTTGGAGTTCGTGCCTCAGCGAAACCCCGTCAAATTTGGAGTTCTTCAATAGTTCCTCGCTTGGAGCAAGAAGAACAACGTGCGAGTGTGTGATCAGGGTGCATATTTCAGAGCAAGGGAATCCTCTGCAAGTTGACCAATCACTTTCCCAGTTGAGTTGTGTGTTGTCTTTGTCGTTTTCTTAAAGAAAGCCTCCCCCCAACCCCCCTCCCCCCCAACCCCCCTCAACCCCCCCCCCCCCAGCCCCCCCAACCCCCACCCCACCCCCAATCCCCCCCAACCCCCCCAATCCCCCCGCCCTCCCCCGGAGTGCTGGTATGCTTCATCCACCCAAACCTTAGTCCAGCGGTTCGCCCGGAGGTGAAGGCCATGATCGGGCAGCTGATCATCAAGATGCAGGACTGCGCGCGACCGGGCGACAGTAGTTGGGTTGGTCTCAGGGGGTCGCAAATCCCTCACTGGGCGAAACCTCTAAACAGTTCCTCAAACCAGTGGGGGGTTGTTGAGGGGTTGCCAATTCTGGGTTTCCTTTTGGTTTGTCCTCTTAAAGGATCCCCGAGAAGGAAGAAATCGAAACGACCGCTTGGGACGGGACGCCAGTTTAGGCCTGCCGCTTTGGCAAATCGGTCAAGGGTCTTCCTTGGGCTTCCAACTTACGACCCCATTCAACACACCCCGCAGATCACCCCCCCCCGACCCCAGCGGGTTCCCAAGCGACCTTTCGGGTTCTTAGGGTTCAGGGGGCGTGTTTGTCCCAGGTATCGTTTGCCCTCCACTGCCACCATTGTCATTACATTCAGGGAGTTCGTCCCCCCCTTTCGCTTGAGGAAAAAATGGGTTCCCAGTCTTTAGGTGCCTCTCCCAATCTTCCAAATCAAGTCCTTCTCCTCAAAATGGGGAGGGGAACCGCAGGGAAGCCAACGGGGACCCCTTCTGTTTTTCCAGGTGTCGTTGGCGTTTTTTGGGTTCCAGGAGCAGGCCAACGAGGAGGCCACCAAGCAGGGTTGGTGCGACGCGGAGCTGTCCACCAACAAGGCCACCCGGGAGGAGAAGGCCGACGCCAGTGAGGCCCGGGAGCGGTTGGGGTTTGGGGGGGTGGGGGGTGGGAGCGTTAGCCAAGATGTGGTGGATGTGGTGGATGGCCGCGCGGAGCATTGGGGTTTTCACCTTTTTTTTTGGGGGGGTAGGGGATGCAAAGGCGCCAGGGACTCAGGGAGATCTAATGACATCATGCAAGATTCGAGGGTTGGCTGAACACGCCTGCCATTTCTCCTTTGGGGGGAAGCCGGGGTAGTTTTCACGTGTTCGGTGGCTTCTTTCGCTTGCAAGTACACCAACAAGAGGGGCAATCTGTTGTCGCTTTTGTGCCCATGAACTGCCGATGCACAGGGCGAAGGGTGGCTGGTGATAGATTCGAGGCAGAATTATGTTTGGACATTCGAGGTCCTGTTCATTGGGAACCCAGAATTATCTTGGTTGTTATTTTTGAAAGAGGGAGCACCCCCTATTTATGCGACAGGTCCAAAAATGTCGGATTGACATTAGGATTCTCTATTGCAATCAATAGGTCCCTCGCGGTGGGGTAGGCAAGAAGGGAGGGGGCGGGCGAGAAAAGGGGGCCAGCCGCAGTCTGCAGGGTGTTTCTCTCGTAGGGGTCTGATCCACCATCCTCTGTATCTTTTCTGAGGCTTGGACAGTTTTTGGGGTGGGTGGGTGGCCGATTTAAAAGCTGGGGCCAAGCGGTTTCGCCTCACGTGAGGCGCTTCAGTCAGAGATGGACGAGCTCTCTGCCGCAATCACCAAGCTGGGTGAGGAGGCGTCGGGCGCACGCGCACGGCCGATGGTAAATGCGGGTTTTGGGTTCTTGTGTGAGGTTGGTGGTATTTGGACCCCTTCTTCTTGCTGGTGCTCAGTAGGGAATGTGGGAATGAACCTGGGGATTCCCTTACAGGAAACAACAAGGGATGTGTTTTTTAGGGTCATATTCCCTCATTTCCTGCCAACCGCACCAGCAAGTCTTGTAGACGGTATGTGGGAAACTTCCGGAAATCCAAACCGACCGTCCGCCCCGAGTTCTCGAGTGGTTTTTCCCATCAGATCGGATCCTTTGGGGTTGCGAAATCCGGGCTCGACTGGGTCGAGGGATTACAGGCTAGGGAGAAACATGGACATCGCCAAATTTCCGGAAACCGTCGGAGACACCGCGATTTTTCAGTGTTCCCAAGAGGGGAAACAAGTGGGTGTCTGCGTCGTTTTTCCGTTTTGGGGAAACAAGTCACGTTTCAGAGGAACCCAAACAGGGGCAACTCTTGAAACTCGAGCCACACCCAAGCCACTTGAGCCACACTCAAAACCCGGGTAGATGCAGGTTAGTAAGGGGCAGTCCCAGCCAGAAATAGGTGCGGCCGCCTTCAAATTCTTGAAGCATGGTTCTGGGGATCGACCATTTTAATAATTACCGGGTTTTGATTGTGACTTGTCCTTTTTGGCTGGTTTGCTTAAAGAATAGATGGCCCTGGTTTAGATGGGGTTTATTCCATTTACCAGGGAAACCCATCTATTTTCCCAAAAGGCCACCTATGCCCAAGCCACTTTGACCCATGGCTTCGGCGTTTTTCTCTTTTTTTCTCAGGTGGCTGTGGCTCAAGAAGCCGGTAAAATGGAACCCTGGTAAGTGGAAACATGGCCCAACACCTGCGTTTTGCACCTCCTGTTTCATTTTGAGCCACGCCCAGGTGGTGACGCTGAACAAGGAGGTCACGGAGCTGAACTCCGCCATGTCCAGTGCCACGGAGCTGCGGCAGAAGGAGTCGATCCGAAGCCGTCGTCGCTTTCTTTTCGAAGGGCGAAGACGTGGGCGTCCTAAGGTGGGCGGCCGTTTTGCTTGAAGCCACAGGATTGCCATTTTCGGGGGGGTCCGTTCTTGTGACGGGCCCAGAACTAGATGGCACTTCTTGGTGGCAATTAATGGAGCAAAGGGGATGACTAAGCGGAAATTGGGAAGTTGTGCTGATTTTAGTTATACAGGGCCTGGGGTGTATAAGGGGCACTCGTTGTCCTTGGACTCTTGGGCGCAAAGTCCTTTGCTTGAGCCCTCAGATTTGTTTGCTTACCCTGCAAATCTATGACCAGGGGGTCCACTGAAAAACTGGGAAATGCGCCGGAGGGTTCTCAAGGAACCAGCAGACTTATTTGGACCCATACCTCAATTTGTTTTTGCCCAGTCCCAGTTTCCCGCTTTCCGGTTTGGTGGCTTCCCCACTCAAAACTGGAACCAACTTCAAAAAGGGTTCCCCTCTTCCCATCGACCCATGTGTTGGGCCCCTTAAGGGGAAACCAGAATACCACCCCTTGGGTGACGTTCCACCCTTAAAAGCTGTTTTTTTCAGAAAATAAGGGACCAATTTCTCAGACTCCTCCTGGTGTTTTTTCTTTGGTATCCCTCCACCCCAAAAGGGGACCACTGTTTTGATCAACTCCCATTTTTTGGGGAAACTGAAGGGACACCAAAGGGAAGCCACGCTCTTGTTTGGGGTTCCGATTCCATTGAGCCGAAAGTTGGTGGGACCCTTGGTGACAAGGGAGCCGTTCCGGAGCTATCCCAAAAATGCTTTGGGAGGGAATGCAGGGAGCTAGTTCTGGAGTTGAAGGGAACCAGCAATGTTCCTTTTGGTTTTTAAAAACAACACAGGTTATTTAAGTGAAGGGTTTTTTAAACCTATCCATTTTCCTTTTTAGTCCTTTTGGTGGTTCTCTACTCAGGTCAAAAAACTGGATCGATCGATCCACTGGGCCAGGAGAAGCAGAAGAACGCGGCCACGGTGCGGGACGCCAAGGAGGCCCAGGCGGCGGTGGCGCAGGCCTTGATGGTGCTCAAGGAATTCTATGCCAAGGCGCCACCGGGGGGGGCGCCACCGGGGGGGGCGCCACCGGGGGGGGAGGGGGGGGGGGGCTGGGGGAGGGGGCTGGGGGCGGGGGCTGGGGGGGGAGAGTGGGGTGGGTGTTTGTGGGTGTTGCCTTTTTTGGGGAATGTTGCAAACAAGGGGTGGTTTGAAAGGGAAACCTCAAGGAAGGCCACCATTTTGGGGGTCCCACGCAAAAAAGAAGACACACATGTACTGTCCTTTTTTTGTGTTGCTGCTATAGGGAAGCCAGAAGGAAGCCACAGGCTTGGATTTTTCTATTTCACCATCCTCCCAGTTCCCGGTTCCTCCCATTCGATCCGCTCGGATCCGGAGATCCGAAGCCGAGGCCGGCGAGGCCACCTCCTTCGTGCAGAGCTCGGGCGGCCAGCCCGAGACCTTCGACGCACCGCCGGGGGCCCCGACCGAGCCGCGGGCCGATCCAGCCGATGGATGCGGGCCAGAAAGCCTCCACCTGCGTCGGGGAGAATCTCGTCATAGGAGAGCGAAGTCAGAAACTCAAGCGAATCTTTGTTGTTGTTTGTTGGTGTGTGTGTGTGTGTGTGTGTGTGTGTGTGTGTGTGTGTGTGTGTGTGTGTGTGTGTGTGTGTGCGCGTGCGCTTTTGGTGTAACCTTGTGTTTTGCCGTTTTGCGAGTCAAGGTGCGGAAAGGTAAGCCTTGCCAGGTCCTGTGGTGAGTTGATGATGAGGTTGCCGTTCCAACGCAATTGTTTTTCTCATAGAGGATGAAGAGGGTCCCGTGGCCCGTCCCTTGGTCAGAAACCATGCGTGAGGATTGGTCAATTTGATTTCTGTCCACACGATCCCTTTTTGTTGGTACCCCTTTTGGGATGCTTTGAAGGGAATCGAAAAGAACAGCCCCTCTATTTCTATTGACACAGAGGTCTGTCTCAAACTGGGGAGGTCTCAAAACGGGTGGTTTCGCAATGCCCCTAACCAGCTCCAAACAGCCAAGAAGGGTAGCCTCAGAAAAGCATCAACGCGATTGATTCCAACTCCACCCCCCCATGGATTTCCCATGAAATTCCTTGCCTGAACCCGCGTCAGGTTGGCACTTGCACCTGTCAGTTCCATGGAATTTCCAAACCCGCTGCACGCTGCAGCGCCAGTGGGAGGTACAAGGGCATGGGCGGAGAGAGCGGCGGCGTGGTGTCCATGTTGGAGGTCATCGAGAGCGACTTTGCGCGGCTGCAGGCGATGGAGTTTCTTGAAGGATGACTGGGTCCCCCAGTGGTGCCAGGGGCTCCTTAAAAGATACATTTTGCCCATTTGAAACATGGTTTTTTCCACCAAAATAAAGGGAAACCACCATCTACAAGGCAATGCTTAGGTGTATAATGTAAGGATCCCTGTAGTGCCCTTTTACTTTTTTTGGGGGGAGGGTTCCCCTACTAAAATAGACAACAGAAAAAAGTTGGTACCCTTATTCTAACCTCTCTACTGAGCTTTCATGATTGGAACAGCAAAAGCCCAGTTGTTCCAAAAGGCTTCTACATGTAGGTGACTCTGGTGCAGCCCTGAAGGGGCCCTGTTTCAGTGAACCTTGGGCAAAAGTATGAGGCGTGTCGTACATGGCGAGGACCCTGAGATGGGGAGCCTCCAGAATGAATGGCCTGTTGCTTGTTTACCTTTAAAGACACCAGGGGCACATTTGGCCCCTTTTGATTCAGTTTGATACAAAAGCAACCGGAGTGACAAAAAAGCACTACAAGACTGTTACACTACCAACTGCGGGACCCCTTGATTTGGAGGTCTGCCTCACCAAGCTGGGCGTCATCCTTTTTCGAACAAGACCTCCTGTGGTGCCAGGGGGTTCCCTCTCAGATCAACACAAAGGGTGCAATTCCTATTGGCTCATGGAAATCCACACCAGGTCTGGATGTAGTGATAACCAACATCTCGGCAGTTCCCAGCCATCCCAGTAGGCGTTTAGATTAAGGTTTGTGTTGGTTTAGTGGTAGTTTCCTGTACTCTTTCCGAAACTTGTTCTTGTTCTTTAAGAGTGTTCTCTTTCGCAAAGCAATATCAGCGGGCCTGAAAACGGACCGCCCAGACATGGCTCACCGGACGGGAGGCTCGTTGCCGCCCAACACCGGAAGAAAAAAAAAAACTCCGGGCAGGCGGAGACGGAGGCCTCGGAGGAGGCGGCGAAGACGGAGTTCGACGAGTTCATGGAGGACTCAAAGGCGGAGACTCCACGTTGGCCCATTAACTTACCTCTTAAAAACACAACTGTTCGTAACTTTTTGGGGAACATGGGCTATATGTCTGTAAAAGATGAACTTCCCCAGGGCTTGGAGTTTTAAGGGGTAAGTTAATGTTGACCCCGGATTGAGAACCCCCTGGTTGATGAATAGGGGGGTGGCCTTGGTTTTAGTGGGGGTGTATATCACTTTGGAGGGGAACACCCCCCATATTCGTAAACAGGGGTTGATTAATCCGGGGTCGACATGAGTCAAGGTCCCAAAAAGGACTGACCTGTTTGTGTCACTGTCCATTTAGTTGGCGGGCTGCTCAAAGGGTTGCTTCCTTGGGTAAGTGAGTTGATGATTTGGGCTGGCACTCTTCCTCTTGGATCATCCCTCTTCCCACATGGAATCTGAGGCAAAGTCTTGTGTCGGGTCCCATGTGGTGGGTTGGAGGTTGAATTATGAAAGGGGGCCGTCTTAAAATGGGCTCCCGCGAATGGATTAGGAGTGGTCGCGCGTTGCTCCAGAAATTGGGCTTCGCATGCTTCGAATCCTCTTACAGGCAATGGGCTATGAGGGAAATAATGCAGAAGGCATGCCTCAATCTTTTCTTTCGAACGGCTATGAGCCGCTTGTAAACTGGCGTGGAAACGCACAGCCTCCCCCTGGAAGAGGAAAGTCGTCTTCCGATTTAGGATCTGTGCAACAGGCCATTTTAGTTGGTGGGAAGGTACATCCAAGCAGATCCGCCTGTCAAAACTCACGCAGAGGTTTGCCAAAGGATTGAAGAGCCGGGCGGGAGGTGGACGGAGCCACTTGGGATGACGCTTTTTTCAGTCCCGACCAACCAACCCAAACCCAACCCAACCAATCCAACCCAATCCAACCCACCAACCAACCAGTACCATGTGCTATTCCTCTGCCCGGCCCCGTCTCCCCGAGTCTCTTCTCGTGGCACTTCCGCGAAGGTGGACAAGGCCACCAAGACCAAGACCGCAGAGCACAAGGCCGGCAAGAAGCAGGCCAAGACCCAGGCACGAATGCCCAAAACCGGCGCGCGGTGCGCGCGGAGGGATCATGCTTCTTCAACCGCAAGTGGTCCGCCGCAAAACAAAAATGTGCGGTGTTCTCTGCACATTGGTTGCGAACGCCCGAGTTTCAAGAGATGTCGGGCGAGAAGGCCACACCTGCGCGCCTTTTTGGTGCCGGCTGTGGGGCTGTGGGGCGGGGGGGGGGGGGCGACGCCGTGAGAGCCAGGGACTCCAAAAGGTTTCAGCGGTGCCAAGGTCCTCAAGGCTCATGCCGCCCAAAGCCAGTCACCAGTTTGTATCAGAATTTGGGACAGGCCGCTAAGCGCCTCCCTTTGGGCTCCCTTTTAACCAAGCGCAAGCGTCAGCAACAACGGGGCTACCGAGATACCGAAAGGAAGGCGCGGCCCACAATCGATCTTTCACTGAGACCAGAGAGGCTCTGTCGGGTTGCCAGACTTGGGATGCCCTTTAGTTTGTTTGTGAACTTTCCCCTGCTACGGTGCGAACCCCTTGTTTGGCCCTCAACATAGGATCATTTTATGTATATATATATATACAGTACATAGATATGGCTATGGCTAGAAGTCTTCCCACCAAATTCTGTCCCTGTTCAACACTTTAAACATAATCATGCCCATACTGTGGATGGCCGAAATCCGGCACCACCCAAGAACCCCTGCTTTCTGATGATTCCCCTGTAAAATCCCAACAAAACCATGGTGAAGCCCACGGTTTCCACGGTGCAAGCTGGATTTCCTCCATCCACGGCTCCGGTCTGAGAGACTCTTTCGCGCCCCCGGGAACTCGAAGTGGGCATCGGATCTCTGAGGAGCTGACGACCCTGGAGGGCGATCTCCAGGGCACTGCGAAGGAGCTGGATGCGGCGAAGGCCTACTACGAGAAGCGCCCTGGACCGAACATTTGAATGAATTTTTCGGTCCCAGAGCTGTGGTGGAAGGTTGGGTTGGGAGTCGGTTGCCGTTTGGTTTCCCTTTAAGTCCCCCGCCCCAACAAAACATGAACACATAAATAAACAGATGATGTTTTTCCCTGCGGGTTGTTCTTGCACCCTTAGCTTCCTTGTCCCATTTAGTGCAGGGTGCTCTCCGCATTTTCTCAGCTTCGCCCTAATCGCTGGTCTGGATTGGTGGTTAAGGAGGGGTTACAAGAACCGGAGGTTCAAATCTCCAAGCCAATCCAAAGCTCCGATTTCGGTGGCTCCTAGCTTTTTAGCCTTTGGTGTTTAGCGGTAGTTTTCATGCGAAACCCACTAAAAGTTTCACCTTGTGCAGGGGATCTGAGGGCAGCCTAGCAATGAAGAGTTCCCTGAAGTTTTCCTCAGGCTGAAGCCGGACTGCGTGGACACGGGGGCGTCCTATGCGCAGCGAAAGGTGCAGAGGGAGCAAGAGCTGAAAGACTTGGAGACGGCTCTGAAGATGCTCTCGTAGAAATGGCGGTTGAAAAAAAAGTCAACGCAGCGCCTCGGCCGCAAAAAAAGAAACAATAAAAACACACACAGAAGGTTTCTTTTCACTCCCTGAGTTGTTTTTTCTGTCTTTCTTTTCCGGTCTCTTTTTGGGGCTGGAACATTTTGGTGGTAAACAAACAGTTTGAGCTGATACCAACAAGGCGCCACTTCGACCTTAGGCAGGCAAATTGCCAATGCGCCCTCGGATTCTGGCCATTCCCTTCCACTCACACTCCATGGGAGTAAGCTACCTGATGGGGGGCAATGGATGGCAGGTTTTCCGTTGCTAGCGGCAGGAGTATTGCTGAATTGACTTGAAGGCTGCCTCTGTCGAAACTTGTGCGAATACGGGAAGCTCAACCCAGCATCATACATTCTGAAACGTGGACTTGCAAGTTGATCCTCGGCCGCAACAGCAATTCGTTCCGGAGCAGCACGATGTGTTGAGGAGCAAACTTCATTTGCATCACTGACACGGGCGAGTTGAAGCTCTTAGAGAAGCAACTGACTAGCATGATAAGAGGAGCCATGTGGGTTCGTCTTTAAGTGCTCTGGAGGTTCCTTGTTGTGCCGCTGGTAAGTGAGACAACTAGTATCGTCGGCTACTTTTTCTATCTTGTTCTCGCAGGGAACAAATTTGCTCGCAAAAAGAAACCTTGCAGCGCCGTCCAGCCCATTCTTCACCCCAGCTGCAGTCACTGGGAATGGGTTGGTTCCCACTTCACTGATACCCGGGAACCGTTTCGTCCCTCTCAAATGGGCAGCGCCAAAAGCCCTCTACGAGAGGAGTGAATTGAGGGCCTCTCGGAGAGGCCCTCAATGAACTCCTTTCATCTTCTATTTTCGTTAGTAGAGGGTTTTGTTAGTAGAGGATGTTGTGTAACCTATGTTCGGTGCCGCTCAAATGGAGAATTCCTTCGGAACTCAGCCAAGGTTTCCCTTGCAGCTTCAAGCCGCCCGGCGAACGGCAGGGCGCCCGCGCGGGAAAAAGGAAGACGTCAGCAGCCGCAGGGTGACTCCATTTGCCTAACGAGAACCGGGGTAACTATGTATTTAAACCCTCCTTCCCACTAACATGGCAACTGACACGGGGTCTCTTCAAAAGAAAATTCATTCCCACAGGTGCCATGTTAGTTGGAGGAAGGATATATAGGGAAGTGAGCCTTATAAAGCATCCCTGGTGATTTAGCTACTTTGGGGCGATCCCTGGGTTTCATTCCCAAAGTTATAGGGGTAGCAACGGGGATCCACTGGGTTTGGCACTGTTTGGATCCCACGATGCCTCGAGGCACAGTTCGTCCATCGAGACCCGAAGTGGGATATGTTTGCCTCGCAAGGGAACCCCGAAAAAACAAAAGGTGTTTTTTCTTTGAACTTCCTAAGCAAAAAGAGGACTCTCCCTCTCTCTCTCTCTCTCTCTCTGGCACGCACGCATTTGCCCATGGTTGTTTAACTGTCCTGTCTGCTACCTGCCAAGGGGATGACACGTGAGCAGAGACCTTTGTGAGAGAGTTTTTGCCACCCCCTCAACTAGTTCTTTTGCCTGCCAGCAACCCGGCAAAACTAACTCGTGACTCCTTTGTGCGAACCTTGAGGGGTTGCGTTGATGGCGACCATGTCAAGGGTCACTTTGGAGATGTCACTTGACGGAATCCAGTGGGAAGTTCTGAAACATGGGGGGGCTGTGGACGGGGCTGATGAATTGTTGATTCATGGGAATGGCAAGTGAATCCTTGAACTACCACTAACATCGGGATATGTCCCAAACATATGGGTGTGGGTCCAAAATGGGTACCCCGAATGGAACCCTGGTAAATGGACATGGACCAAACTGCGGTCCATATCCTGATGGTTTAATTTTTGTCCGTACCCATGCTTCTAGTAAGTCAGATTGGAGGGGTTCTTCCAAGTTATGATCAACCACTTGGGCCCCGCGCCATACCGAGGTGGGCGTCCCTTGCTTGTGACACAAGAGCAACTGCCATCATATGGGTGTGTCTCTTTTTGATGGTACCCTTGGGTGTGGTTTGAAGGGAAGCCAAAAGAAAAGCCACCATTTGGGGGGTCCCCTGAAAAAAGACACACCCATATCAGAAGGGTACCACGTTGGCGGCGCCGAAGCGCCGAAGCTCGGAAGCTGAAATGGCAGGTGGTGGTGGTGGTCGTGGACCGCGCGGGAGACGTGTCCGCCACCGCCCGGGAGATCCTGAAACGGGTGGGACTTCTCCGAGAGGGGGGTGGAGACGCTCTGCTTCCATTTGGTTAATATTTTTTCCCCCTTTTGGTGTTAAAGGTATCACTATTGGATATATATTTTTTTCAGGGGACTTGAGCAAATGGAGGTCTGGGGGGGTTCTCACTTGATTGTCAGCAGGGAAAGGAGGGAATGACCCGAAAAAGAACCATCCCATACCATCCCTTGTAGTTTCCTTGCACGGAATCCCAAGGGGTTGAAGCAGTTGAAGCATGCGTGCAATTGTCAAACCCTGCTTGTTTGATCTGCTGGTTTCAGCGGAGGTTACACACTGGGCTCTTGCAAGCTGGAAGTTCGGAAAGTCATCTCGGACCGAACAGAACGGAACAAAGGCACGCTCCACTTGCGAGACGGGGCTCTCTTCACTTTCCAGGTGGATCAGTCCAGAGGTGACACCTTGTGAAGCCTGATTTTCCTCCCATGGGACACCGCCTGGTTTTCCAGGGTTCCCCAGTTAGACAGGAGGTTTGTCACATGTGCCGTGATGAAAGCTCTCGTTTGCTTGGGCTTGTTAAGTTTTGACAACAAGCACATCATTTGTTTCTGTGTGTTTGTGAGAGTCTCGGTAGCCTTTTGTGCGCCTTGGTTTCCAAGTGGAAAACGAAGCAAGCTTGGGGTCCAACCCCGAATTTGGACACCACGTGTTTGTGCGTAACGAACCACGTGTGTAGCATCCGAACCCATTTGTGGGACCTCATCGAACGGGTCACCCAAGGTTTTTGCTGGTTTTGTGTGGCTTGGTTTGGGTTTGGGTTTGGGTTTGGGTTTGGTTTGGGTTTGGGTTTGGTTAGGTTCGGTTTGTTTTTGTTGGTTTTCTTTCCAAGGCATGTGTTTGCTCTGTGAGGCTTGGTTGGTTTGGTTTGGTTTGGTTGGGTTTGGCTTTGGGCTTGGGTTTCGGCTTTTTCTTTTCGCTTGCTTGGCTTTATTCACTTGCCAGCACCACGAGCTGGAGATCCTGGCGCTGCCCAGGGACTTCCCGGGCCCAGGCCGGCGCGCGCCCGGCTGCAGCGTTTCGCTCGGCGCGGCAACGTTTTGCGAGGCCCTCGAAATTGGTGGTTGATCTTTTGGCGTCGAAGGCTTTTCCCTTGGTGTCCTTTTGTTTTCCCTTGAAGGCAAACAAAGGGTAACTCCGAACAAAGGACGCCCAACTTTGGGTTTGCTTTTGTCAGGCTAAAGAGGACACCAAGGGGTCAAGAGACCAAACATGTTTGATATGGGTCTCCTAACATATTAAGTCTTTTTTTGTTTGTTTGTTGGTACCCGTTTCGGGAAGGGCTTAAAGGGGTTAAAAAGAGAACCTCCATCCCCCTTTCGCGATCTCAATACTTGTGCGACAGAATGGGAGCGTTGAAAGGTTCCACATCTTTCCTGACAACAGCATTGGTGGGGCCTGGGTGAGGATTTTGTTGCCGTTGGGGTTGCAGATTCGAACAAGTCATTGGTTTAGTGGCCTGGTATGGTGTTCCTTGAAAAAGTCACCCCTCCAAGAAAATAGCATGTCCTTTGGCTTCGCTTGAAAATCACACCACAAAGGTGCCGAGCTCAAAAAAGACACCCAAATGCATCTGAACAACTCCTTCGAGGAATGACAACTGCCCTACTGCCGTACGCACCTTTGGTGCTGAGAAAACCCCGTATGAAGCATACCCAAAATGACAAAAGGAGCAACAAAAGCACGACAACACACACAAACAGAAGAACCACGAAGCGCACAAACGGCAAGTGCTCCGTGCACAATGCCGCCATGTCCACTAGACGACTCCGCCAACTGCCACCTGTCTATGTTCTGCTGTTCACAGGGTGCAATGAGCAAATGAGGAATGAGGTCTCTTATGCCCAACTATACAGGACATACCCACCATTTAATGCTCTATTTTGAGACACATCAGGTGGCCACTGGGTCATTGAACTGGGTTTTCTCGCGTTTCTTCCTGAGTCGGCTTCGCAGGTGGGCCGGCGACTGCGCGGGAGCCTGTTTTTTTTTAATCTGTGGCTCAGAAAATGGAATCCCCCAAAATGGCCCCATGGAACCCCCCAGACCAACTTCCTGCCTGCGCACTGACTCTTTCATTAGCCACGCCATCAGAACAGACGTCCCGATCCAGTTCTCTAGGGTTGACCTGGGTAGAACGAATTCACCGAGTTCGCCAATTTAAATGGTGGGTTTATGTGGGGAATCGCCCCAGCACCGCAAGTTTCAGGTTGAAATATCATAATTCACCCAGTTGACGTTCTAGCCACAAGCCAGAATGCTTGCAAGAAGGCACTTTGATTTGGCGGCGTGAAACTTGCAATGATGGAGTCCCTGCGCATGTTCAGCATCCGCTCAGCTGCATTCGCTGCATGCCGAGGTGTTTCATTTTCGGTGGCGCTGCCAGACCGAGATGAGCAAGTGAAAAATGGCGTGGCATGCTTATCCGCTGCTCCCAATCCCAAGTTTGTTTGAATACCAGGCTTGGAGGCAACACATGTTTTAACAAGCAGCCTCTGGCCCCCTTTAAAGTGAAACCAGCAGGAGGTTGGTGATGAAGAATTGTTGCTCGGACATGTGAAATCCAGGGGTAGGCCTAACCTTACCGTCTCCCAAGTTGAGGGTATGGGGGCTTCGCAAAAAGAACGAATCAGAGCAGTGTCTCGATCGGGTCCGTGGTTCACCTGATCGCAAGCGGTGATGCTGCTCTTCCAAGCCAGGCAGGTGGGACAACATCCACCCGGGTCCCAGCCACTGCTTTTTGGTTTGCCGCACATAGGCTTCTTTGACAGAGAAAGCAGTTGGGTGCTGGATGATGTATTTTTGGGCAAAAGCTGACATTCGTCATCTCCACGCTCGAATTTCTCTCAGCTGCTTCGAACTTCGAAGCACTGCCACCGGGTTTGCCTGTCGGTGGCACCAGCCGCAATGCAGCGCCCGGGGCCCAGGGGCGCCAGGTCTGTTCCGGAGGGGCAACGCCGGCGAGTTGGAGGGGGCTTCAAAGGAACGGCCATGACTTTTTGGCAGGAAGCCACCTCTGGAGAGGTTGGTGGCATCTCCCCAATTGTACTCAAAGTGTTGCGGTTCCCCAATTAAAATTCATTGAAACGCTGGCATGCGACGTGAAGCAAGTGTTTTCATGCGAGGCAGGTGCAGATGTGTGGTAGGACATGCCTTGCATCCGCAAAAGCCCCCCCCCCCCCTTCAATTCTGATTTCCGTTGCCCCCCCTTCCCCCCTTGCCGGGGGGTTGTTTTTTTTGGCGTTCGTCGGGGTTTCATCATGGACTTGAGGTGTCGGAGCCATGTGCTTGCTGGCCCTCGCGGCCGTGGGCCTTGCGCCCGGGCCCCTTGGGAGGGAGCGAGGAAGGGATGTTGGGATGGGCTCAGAGCAGGCTGCGGCGGGATGTAAGAGCCACGAGCAAAACACGAGCGCCAACTGGGCCAACGGTTTCTCCCACGGACATCCACTGGGGATCTGGGACATGACAACTTGTACTAGTACCTGACATGTTGTTTGTGACATTTGTTATTCAGTGTGACGAAACACCCTCATTTATGCCAGCTTTGTTGGGCGCCCAGTTCCAATATGGGCTCGAGGCCTTTTTTGGTTTTTTGAGCAATCGGACGCCCGTATTGTTGATCAATTCGTGTTATGTCAAGTAGTCCCACAGGGACACATTCAGGCTCGATAGGCGCGGATCCTGTATGGGTCGAATTGGGAGTGTTGAGTACTTAGATTTCGTGGCACTTTTCTTCAAATGGCCAAGCACCAGTAGTTGTGTAGCCCCTGCATCGGGTTCGCCAGCCAAGAAGTGGCCGCAACGGGCTGCGCGATGGAAAAAAAATGGATTCTTCGCTCTGAGGTCGAACGTGACTCCGGTCCAGAAGGTGGTCTCCATGATGGCCGCTCGCCATGGGGGGCTGGGTGGGTTGGCTGGGCTGAGTGGGCTGGGTGGGGGGGTTGGGGGGTTGGGGGAGGCTGATGATGCAGACGACGGTTGCGACCGCGGAGATTGACTATGCCTGTCATGATGATGCTTTTGAACTATGGTGCTGGTGATCATGGTGTAGATGCTGAGGGTGAAGAAATATTTGATGCTTGGTGAAGCTCATGTTCACCGTGGTACTAAGAATCATAACCGTCATACCAACCATATTAGTACTACTACTACTACTACCACTACTACTACTACTACTACTACTACTACTACTACTACTACTACTACTACTACTACTACTACTACTACTACTACTACTACTACTACTACTACTATGGAAGCTGCTACTACTACTACTACTACTACTCCTCCTCCTCCTTACTACTACTACTACTACTACTACTACTACTACTACTACTACTACTACTACTACTACTACTACTACTACTACTACTGCTAGGTGTGCTGAGTCATGCTGGCGACGATGATGGTGATGTTGGGAATGTTGTTGGCCTTGCTGCTGCTGACGCCATGTTGCGCCTGGGTCGCATAAAGCTTAGGCTGTAGTTGTAACACACACACACACACACAGGCACAGGCACACATCAGCTATATAAAGTAGTTTGTGACATGTTAACAATTGTGTTTCAGTACGGTATTATTAGCAGAATCTAATAACCTGAAGGCAGCTCCATTTTTGTCTTGCACAGGTATGTCTTTAAAGCATGTTGTTTTGTCATTTTCAACATAGATTGTAGGATGTATTATCTGGTGTATAACATGCGTAACATTGATAGCTTGCTGATTGGGAGGAGCGGGGGGTGGAGGGGTGCGGGAGGGCGAGTCCATCGCCCATCCAACAGAGTGTCCCTCATTTTGAGGCACCAAAAGGTGTCCGAGGTGTGGGCTTGGGCGGGATGTGTGGTGTGCTGGGCGTGCATTAAAAAACACATGTTGCATGGGTGTATTGCAAATGATTACCCTCCTGTCCCCGTTGCCAAATGGTCCCTCTGAAATGAGAGTAGTCGTCCAAACCGGGACCCCGAAACGTCAGATTCCATTCTTAGTGGGAGGGATTATTCTTTTTCAGCTTTGGATGAGGATGGCCAAGCCTCCATTCCGACCTGAAGATACTTGTTTGTGTGAAGTTGGACATGACGCTGTGGAATCCTCACCCCCTTAAATATGGAATTAGGGGAGGGAGCCATTTATGGTTCCATTTCCTTTTTATGGGGAAGACTAGATTTGTGGAATTGGGGACCCCCCACCCCCCTCCCCCTTTTGGTAGGGGGATGCTGTGAAGGGTGCGGCCCCGTCCCCCCACTGGCCGGTGTTCTCAACTGAGAATTGACATGACTCCCCCAAAATGGGGTTGCCCAACGGAGGTGTCTCAAGAGGTGTTTGTGTGGCCAAAGATGACATGAGTCATGGGTGTGGGTGCCTCGCCTTTTGTGCACCTTGCGCCTAAAGAAATGCCAAGAAATGCTTCTTGGTATCCCAGTCAGCATCAAGCACGCCAGCGCCTGCCGTCTCGGCACCAGCGGCAACACAAGTTGCTGCATGTGCGGTGTGCATCAGGGCTTCATGTTCGACTACTCTTTCCTCAAAGATGCCCATGCTGACTGAGCGCATGGACTGATGATGCTGGCTACTTGCCAGACAGTACACCCATGACGGGAAATGCCATCAATCCATGAACAGATCCGGCCACATCACCCACACTTCCGGCTCTCCGTGGCCTAGGGCCCTCTCTCTCAATTCGGTTGGCTTGTTGATGGTACTCCCATGAGCATGGCCAATCAATCTCCTCACCCGAAGACGATTCAGCCAGATGTACACGCGCGTGGCGCGGCCTTGCTAGCATCTGACTCCGGATGTGGGATACCTTGTGGATGGAACACCCCCTTCATGCTCTACCAGCAACTCCTTGAAAGCGAGCATAGCATTGCGTTCCGCAATCCCAGCTGTGCCGCCTTCGCTGACTGCCTCCGCAAGCGGCTTCCCGCACCCTGCCCAATGGAGCCCACGATGACCTCTTCACCAACGATGTGGCGAATTTCCCACGAGGTGCCGCTGAACAAGGCTGCGATTGGGGGAGGGGGGTGGCCAATGCATGAAATATGCATAATTCATGGTGAGCTTATTTGGGTAAAGCACAAACATATTTTACTTGGGGATCCCTTATTTCAGGTTTTGGGCATACTGTAATCTTTTGCAGATTAAATGTCCTTCAACAATCAGATTTGGCCTTCTTCAAGTGAAACCCAAAGGAGCTTGGATGTTACCTTGAAGAAGGATGTTCGCACCCTGCAAGGCTGGCAACGCTTTGCACCTGTCGGATGGATCCCGGCGGATGGATCCCTGTCCATGCTGGGCTCTCCTTCGGGCCACACTCCCGGGAATGACGTGAGGTACCTTCCGGATGGCACAGCTATCAACAAGGCCGTTGTGGTTGCAAACATCTGGAGAACGGTTTGGATGGCTTTTTGTGGATTTCAGCTGTCCTTCCCCCTGCATGCTGGTCCTCGTTTTGGAACCTTTTAGTACTCTTTTCATATCCTGCAGGGGTGCATCCACAACGGCCACATCCAAACGTTTAACCATGCCCGTGTAATTATACAAAAAAACACCTGTTCGGCCGCGGTTCAATTGGACCCTTAAAGTACTTGGCGGTTCCGAAGGCCAGACCTTTAGACTTTTTGCGCTTAGAGCACGGAGAGGTTTTGCTGTATGCCACGAAAGGTTTAATTCACCACGTTGGCAAGGGTTCAACAAACCACCGTTTTTAGCAAACAGGCTGAAACGACCATCCAGGCCGGCAATGCCCTCAACTCCCCGCTGATTCAGCCAGACCCTCACACCCCAACCCATCTCGCAAATGTGGGCCGCGAGGCCGCGGATGGCACGCCCATCAACACCGGCAGATCCATCCGCCAACCTCTTGAGTCGGATGCAGTTCAGTTCCAAGGTTTTAGTGGAGTGGGGCATTTGGATTTCAATGTGCCTTTGGGCAAAAATCATGCTCCGTCATCTTGACTTCAGAGAATCCCAATGTCTTTCCTCACTCCAGTTCGAACGTCCGACGGAGTGGCGTCCAGCCGCTCTGATCGCGCCGTAGCTGAAGCCTGTGCAGGGCTCAGTGGGAGCGGTGTGGGACAAGCTAGTGAACCGCTAGGCTTCGGTCCCGCCCGTCGGATTCCCGGTACATAATTTCTGTACCGCCGCCGCAAGGTGCGGATGTTCTCAACGACCGTATTGGGTTTTGGATCTCCACCATCCTTCTTAATATGTTCCACGGTGCTCGTGGGATTTACAGACCCTTGTCAACCATGGTTGAACAATCCCTGAGTTGGCACAGGGATGGTTCTTGCTTGAGAACATTTTGCAGGCAGTCGAAGCATTCAGTCAAGCGAAGACGCACTTGAGTAACACCCAATGGGACACTGAATGCGAGTGCATTGTTACTAGCTCGCCATCGACTTTGAAGCTTCACGCTTCACTCTCATATTTAACCGACCTTCAAATCGTGTGCGAGAAGAAAAAAAAAACGGGGGCCCCCCTCCCGCAGCGCTTTTGCACAAAAAAACTGGACGGTTTTTTCTGCTCGTAGCGACGATGTTCCCCGAGGTCACTCTTAGCAGAACCCCCCACTGGCAAGTGGCTGTTCTAGCTTCTTTAACTTGTCATGTTTTATGGGAAAAGTGGCAAAGCAAGAGGCCCCCAATCTTTGTTCGACCATCCCTCCCGGCCAGAATTATAGGCGTCTAAGCCCTCCAGCTTCCACAAATGTTTTGCCAGAATGTTTTCCACCCTCAACGAGTCTTTTGCCCCCTCCCCCAGCGCAAACCGATCGATGGTGCTAGCACAGCATCATTTTATGTTTGTCTCCTCCTCATCTTTGGTGCATTTTGCTTGGACGCTAGGACTTTAACTTTTTGCCGACTAATGGGTTTTACATTAAACCATATATATTAAACCATTAAAAGTTAAACTTTTAGCAGGGAGCAGAAAACAACCGCCGAGTCATGTTCTCTCTCCTCCCCCTCATTTGCTTGAGGAGAAGATGCTGGACAAGGGCAAGGCTGAGATGGACGCAGAGAAGCAGTCGCCGTCTGACTGCATACAGCACGGATCAGAGGGCAGCCAGTGCCAACATGAGGGGCCACGGAACCATTACAGAACAGTTTGCTTCATGACAATCTGATATTTAAGTACCCCATTTGGCCCCATAAGGTATGTTGCTTTGCGAATCTCGTTCGTCGTTGTTGGTGACGGCTGCACAATTGATACCTTGGACAAGCTGAAGAGGGGATGAGCAGCTCCCAAAAACATGAGGCGTGGCTTTGGTGAGGATAGTTTTCAGCATTTTCAGAAATGACTTGGAGGATGTTTGGTTCTTTGGCCCCAAGCGGGAGAGGCCTCGTTGAACTTCCATTTGGGGGGCTTTGGGAATCCCAGTAAGAGGGATCACCGGATCGCCCGAGCAGTCACTGACTTATTGGTGGTCTATGTTGGGGAGGACTGAGGGGGGGGGATCCAGGGGCCCGGGGCCCCGATCATCTGATGTCATGGGGAAACACAAGGTAAGCTGTCCGTTGCTTCGGTGAGCCACCTTCAAGCCCCAGGTACGTGAAGGCAAGGCACAGTCACCAGAATTAGGTGGTTGAGTTCTGTTGAGTTGGGCCGACTGCTTGAAACTTGCAGGTTTGCATTATGACAAAACATTGGCGCCGATCTGGCAAGGCATGGCATGGCATGGCATGGCAAGGCATGGCAAGGCATGGCAAGGCTGAGCTCCACCGAGGTACGTGGAGTACGAGAAGTTCTGCGCATCTCGTCATATGCATTTGATTCCCCTCAGGCTGGTGGCTTGCTGAGATCCGGGAGAAAACAAAGCAGGAATCTTTGGGGTCCCGTGACTTGTGAGCCATGAGCATGGAGTGGCGGCGTTCTGTTGGCTTGCATGTTGATTTGCCTTCCCATTGTCCTTCTGGTTTTTTCCCTTTCGAGCTACCTGTGTTGGACATGCTCCCGAGGTCTTTTTTCCGGGATCTCTCCGACTTGCCCGTTGATCCCTGGTTGGATTCCAGGAGAAGCCGCCAACTCCCGCAGAGTTCCCTTTTTGTTTCTCCTTTGGTTTTCCTTTAACCCTCCACCCCACCCCACCCCACCCCCACCCCACCCCACGCCCCACCCCTCCACCCCACCCCTCCCCACCCCACGCCCCACCCCTCCCCACCCCACCCACGTCCCCCCCACGCCCCACCCCCCCCCTCCCCACCCCACCTCTCGCTCCCCACCCCACCGTACCCCTCCCCACCACCCCACACCCCGCCCCTCCCCACCCCACCCCACGCCCCATTCCACCCCACGCCCCGCGGGGGCGGCTCTCCACAGGCACGGCTCAAGTCTTGAAGTCGGCGTCGTCTGAGCTCTTTGCAAGCTAGTTGAACCGCCGCAGCTTTCAAGCATCAAGCCTTGCTTGCAACTTGCGCCCCTTGGCATGGGTTGGGGTCAGGCGCATTAGGCGGGCGTCCTGCAAGCTAAGGCACGCGACACGTCTTCTTTGCCATGTCCGCGCGCTGGGAAGATTTGGCTTTGGAGGTGCACTTGTTGCGAAGGGGATAAATGTTCAACCAAAAGCCAAACTAGACTGAACGCGAAAGCGTCACAAAACCTCCCCTCGGCAGCAGCATTGTTTTTTGGGGTAACAACCTCGTTCTCACTTTGAGACAGCAGGCTTCTTTCAACAATGTCTTCATATCCTGTACACAGTATGAACCTTCTTTGGCGGTAGCTCAATCAGGACAAACCAAGTCACCCACGAAGACTGCAAAATGCGTATACACTATGGCCAAAAAGGGAGGCTCGAAGTACACGAGGTAGCAAGGCCCCTTTAAGTTTCGCTGTTTGTGGGAAAAGCGTCTTTGCTCACGACCTCCCATTAACGTAAAACATGCTTGCGTCTCTGCACGCAGAGTCGTTCAGACGCACACCTGCGCAGACAAGGCGCCCTTTGAATTGCGTTGTCCGCGTTGCAGCTCTGCACATGTATCTTCAAAACACACGTTCAAGCATTTGCAAGCGCGAGCCGCGCGTCTGCGCAGGATGTTGAGCAGTTGTGGGCCGGGCGCCCGGAGCCCGTTTTGCTCGGCTGCGTTTTTTCCACGTCTTGAGGTGACATCTGACGCCTCCTTTTTGGTTGGACCCTTGGAGCCGCTGTCCCGCGCGCAAGTTGAAGCCCCGTTTTCTGCCAAGGCGAGCGGCGGAGATTTCCAAGAGGCTCCGCTTATGGCTGCGGAGGGCAGGCGGGCAGGGCAATAGCAGCGCCCGCCGCGGAGGTGCCAAGCTTCGTGGACTGGCTGCAGTCCGGCGCCGCGAGCTTATCATCAAGTTAGACGTTAGCAGGGCCCCTTTGCGGTCAGTCAGCATTTTTACCAAGGTGGCAACTCCAGCCGCGTTGGACACACGTCGCAGCCGCCGCCGCGAAAGGTTTGGGCTCGCGCCTCAGGGCGTCCTGGCAAATTTTCTGCGCCGCAAGCGCAGGTCGGCGGCTTTGGCGTGAGGGCGTTCGCGCTCGCCTTGGGTCAGCTGATGTTCCTTTTCGCAAGCATCTTGCCGGGGCTGCCTAATAGGACCCAAGCCGGTTTGCCCCGCCCCCGCACGGCAGGGCGGGCAAGTCTGCGGCCCACAGACACTTTCTCGCAGTCAAGATTTTCACGCGCGGCAGGTGGAAGCGCCCACGCAGCGGAGGGTGCCCAAAGGCCCGGGCAGTTTCCGGTCGCCGTTCGTTTTTCGCGAAACGCGCTCAGGACCTCCGCGCGCAGGAGCAGGCCCAGGGCCTGCGCATGGCTCAGTCATTTTTGCTGCGACCGACCGGGCCCGCCGCAGCACGCGCAGCTGCGGGGTTCGGCCCCCGGGCCGCGCGAGTGCAAGTCTGTTCGAGCGCTGCTTCGCAGCCGCCGTTCGCGCGCCGCAGGCGTTCCACAGGGCGCGCGCCTCAGCGCGTCCGTCGCTTTGAGTTTCCTTGGGCGCCCGCAGTTCACGACAGGCGTCGGGAACCGAGAAGGCGATTGCCAGGAGCTTGGAAGGAGAGAGCGCAGGCGCCCCATGCCACGTAGATAGAAGCCCGCGCCTTGTTGCGGCAAGGCGCCGCTTCCGCCGCCGCTGCCAGCCGTCGGGCCCTCAGTTGCGTTTTTGCGTCGCCGCCGGCCTCGCAGCCGCGGCATTGAGGTGGCTAAGCCCGCGGCGCGACCCCCTGCCACGGCCTCGGCTTTGCTTGGGGCCGGCCGCGTCTCCGACGCGCTCGCGCCAAGGCGCCCCGCCGCAACGCAGTGCGGGAGGACCTGGCGGCGCTGAGCGCCGCGGTCCACCGAGCGGCAAAGCGCCTGGCCCGCAAACAAGAGCCAGTCTTTGCTCGCCAACAAGATCTAAACAACCAGGCCTTACAGGGCAGGCTTTGCTTTCTGAAGGCGGTTTGCCGCGGGTGACCAACAACGGACGGCTTCAAAGATTGGGGCCCAAGGGAAAAGCACGCGATTGTTTCCAAGAAGCTTGTCGCGATTTCAACAAAATGCAGAACGAGGGGCCCGCCCAAATCAAGACTCGACACAGTCAGGCATCGACTCGAGCCATGGTTCAACACAGTCGACTCGGCACAGCGAGGGCCCCCCCGCATTGTGGGATCAACCCGAAGCACTGTCCAACACAGCGGTGATCGACCCAAATCAGGATTCAATAACAGGCGGGGGGTCAGCTCAAACCAAGCTCGCGGGCGCACTTTTGAGCGCGGAGCGCCATCTTTTCTTTGGCGAGGCAGCGACGTCGCGCAGGCGGAGCTCTCAGCTTCGATTTTTTTCAACTGCGCAGAGCCAAGCGACTGCTCAGGTTCGGAGACGGGTTCAGGGAGCCCGCGCCTCAAGAAATCACACCCTGCGGTCGCGCCCTCTTGCTTGTTGAGGCTGACGCTCTGCGCCAGCTGGGCAACGCTGCGGAAGGACTTCGCAGCGCGCCCTTCGTCTGCGGCCCTCCCCTGCCGCAGGATCGCAACAAAGTTGCCCACGCCGAACACGGCGTCGCTGGCAGGGTCAGCGACTCAGTCAGGGTTCTTGCAACTCAGCAGTTGCAACGCAAGCAAGTCGGTCGCAGGCGCGCGGGTGCGTCGGCCAGGGCCTCAGAATCACCGGCGCTCGCCCTGCGGCGCGCGACTTTTTTTCTACCATCGAGGCAGGTCGCGCAACTTCTGAGACGTGTCACATTGAGGCTTCGCGCTTGCGAGTTGGGTCTCCTTCCCACTCATTCTTCTGCCCACCTAACTCAAAGGGGAAAGCGCGTCGCGCAATCAACACGGCTAGGCGAAGTGGGCGGAGGGCCGGAAGGACGCGCGGCAGCCACGCCGCGCTTCGGCAGACGCGGCTTCGACGCCAGGACCGCAACCGCAAGGCGCACGCCGAGAACGGCAACACGGCGGCGCCCGCGTCGGCAACTCAGTCAGAGGGGTGCTCTGAGCTGTCGCAAGGCTGTTTTGCTCGTAGGTCCTATTCCGTGTCCACCGACCGGGCCTTCTTCGAGGCCTTGCTGGCGGAGGGCCCGCCGGCGGAGCGCCCGGAGAAGGAGCTCCGCCTCAATCTCGCCAGGCGCGCGCGCGCCGCCCGTTTTATTGGAGGCGCCCGCTTACTGTAGCCCTGCACGCCTCGCAGGCTGGGGCGCTGCAATCTGACGGCCTTGATGCGCCGGCAGCGCGGCGAGTGCTCCAGCGAGGGCGCCGCAAAGCTCTGCGCCTTTTTCGACGGCCTGGACCTAGAGGCGGGGCTGTCGCGCGGAGGCTCGCTCGCTCGGGGCGCGCCTCCGCGGCCAGGTGCAGCAGCGTGTCTTGCGCGAGACCGGCGTGTTCACGTACCGCGGCGACGCGCCAGGCCAGCCGCGCGATTCCTTGCTCCTCTTCTTTCTCTTTGCCGTTCTGTTTCTTGCTCCTTTTTTCCTTGCTGCTTTCTTGCGGCGCTGCTTGGAACTGACTTGCCCCTGGCAGGTCCCGCGTGCCACGGGGTTTGGCAGCCGCCAGGAGCTGGCGAGGCGGACTTGCTCGGCGACGTGGAGGCGCAGCTGGAAGCCATCCTGGACGAGCTAGACTTGGAGCAGCCAGGCAAGCGCGGAGACTGAGGCGCCACGGCTGCCTGCTCGCTCATTTTTCCCAAACGGCGCCGATTTGGACGAGACGCGCCTTCCCCCACATCGCCAGCGGACAGCGGCCCGGAGGGCCCGCCTGATCGTGAAGGTCAGGATCATCAGGAGGATGCAGAGGCAGTTTGCCTACCTTGGCCACTTCCTTAACTCGTTGAGTGGAAGTGTGACGAAGAGGATCAAGAAGATATGGCCCAAGATGGATTGAATTTGGACGCACTGGCTGATGAGATGCGGCGGATGTCGCAGGGCGCGCCCTTCCACGAGGCGCGCTGGCTTGCCTCTGTTTTCGTCGCCGGGCTGCGCGGGCCGCCGCCGCAGGCGGGCTGCGAGTTCGTCTTTGCGCCGCCATGTGTTTCCAAGCAACTCGCCGCTTGCCAGGCGCCGCCTTCGCCGACGTCCCCGGCAAACAGCGACATTGAGGACGCCCGCGTGGCCAAGGCGAAGATCGCGCGTTGCTGCTTACTCTCTCGCTTCCCTTCGCAGGCAGCAGCGGCCTTCGCGGTGGACGCCCCGGAGCCATGCAATGCTGCGCAGAGGTGCCCGACGGCCGCGCCGCCAAGCGCCGCCGGCGCGCGCGCGGGAAGAACGAGTCCAGGCGCGACAGAGCGCGAGTTACACAAACGAGCCCCGTGCCGCCCGCGACAGGCTCCTCCCCCTGGACTGGCACGCCGTCGTCCCCAAGGCCCTCGGCTCCTCGGTCCTCAGCCGCTCGCTGGAGCGCGGGCTCTTCTCCGTCAACTGGGGCATGGCGAAGAAGAAGCCGGCCGTGCTGCACCGCTAGTGGCGCGGCGAGGGCCCAGAGGACGACCGACCGCTTGTCCTGCAGGCCCGGCGGCGTTGAGCTCTGCCCTGCGCTCTGTCAAGGCCATCCTCGGGCGGGAGAACGGCGAGATCATACACTCGCCCAAGCCGTTGTCGGAGAGCAAGGTGGCGCTGGAGGCGGGGGACAAGTTGCGAGGTCTCAGAGCAAGCTTGTCACCTTGCCTGCAGGTGCTGAAGCACACGCGTTTTGCGTCCACCGCCTACGCCCGCCTCCCGCTCCTGGCCTCGCCGACCAAATCTTTGCCCTTGCCGCCCGGCGCGCCTCGGACAGCAGCAGGGCGCGGCCCGCGATCGCTCGGCGCCCTTGCTTCTTTGCTCGAAGCATCGCGTTGCTTTCAAGACCCCCTCGTCTGCTCAGGCCCACGTCCACTTGGTGGACGACGTCGAGTTCCACGGCGACAAGATCACGGACGGCCAGGCCGACATCGGCGCGGAAACGGCAGAGGCGCCGGCCGCCAGCCAGAGCGAAATTTTCCTGTCTCGGGGGAAACCGCGCTCTGAGTATGGAACAAACTTTCTGGGCTCGGGAACGCCTCATGAGTTTAAAGCAACACAGGGCCACCAAGTGAGAAACAGGATCGCCATGTCAAAGAACCAATACAACATCCAGCACAACCAGCCGATTGAAGGTGCTCCCGAAGGCAACCGCAAAGCTTGTCGCGGACACAAGGATTTCCTCAGGACTAAGGCCAAACTGACCACTCAAAAACCCCCAACATAATTTCCTCGTGTCCGCGTACTTGTGGTTGGGCATGCCTTTGACCACCAGGCCGTGATCTCCCGGTGGATAGCTGCGGGCCACGTGTGCCCTACGGTTCGCCTCCGCCGCTCGTCCTCTTTGTGCCTATGTGTGCCATTTACCAGAGGGTTACGCCCACCTTGGCGCTGGTGTTGGAGTGTGCCTTCTTGCCCTGCTCACACATCCTTGCAGTGACCGAACACGTCATGCCGGGCTTGTTTCCCCGCCTTGCCGACCTTTGGCACGTTGTGTGCACTGCGCAATCCCTAGGCTCCGTGGCCTTGCGACGCTCCCAGGCATGATCCTGTTTACAGGCTGATGCTCTATGGCTGGTCACACTCCAGGTAGCCCGTCAAAGGCAACACGATGGCCGGAATCGCCTGCTGGCTCCGCGTGAAGCCATGACCCCCCGCAGGATCACCGTGCAATGGCAGCCCTCCTCACGCCTTTTGCTGGCAACACACCGGTGTCACCTTGCCACAGCGGCCATTGCCTCGTGCTTTGAGGTGTGCCAGAACACTCAGCTGCTTGAGCATGTGCGTACTGAGGCCGGGCATGCTGGTCACGCCGACATCATTCTGCAGATCCTGGAGGTACTTGCTCCGACCCGTGTCTTCTCCCTTCCGGGATGGGGTACCACAGCTTGCGACGTTGCTATGCTTGAGCACACCACTTCCTTTGCTACTCGGGGCATGCCGCCGCTCCTGGTTGCTGCCCCACACCACCGTGATGCGCCCGACCTGGGGCCCTGGGTGCCAATCCTTTGTGGCCTTGGCCTCATTACGTTGCTCCTTCGCAGGTGCTTGCTGACTGGGCCGCATTCAGGTCCCCACCCCACCCTCCCCAGAAACACCCCACGCCCACGCCATTTGCTGAAATGGTAGCTTCCTGGGGCGAGGGGTGGGTGGTCCTCGACTGGAAGGTTTCAGACATCAAACAAGTGCCTGCTTGAGTCCCGAGATTCTCAGGCTAGCAGGTAAAGAAAAACATGGTGGCAAATGGGACCCCACCCCACCCCACGCCCCACCCCTCCCGCACCCCACCCCACCCCACGCCCCACCCCTCCCCCCACCCCACTCCACCCCACACCCCGCCCTTCCCCACCCCACCCCACCCCACGCCCCACCCCTCCCCACCCCACGCCCCACCCCACCCCACCCCACCCCACGCCTTACCCCTCCCCACCCCACCCCACCCACCCCACGCCCCACCGCCCCTGCCGCCCCCCCGAGGAGAAGACCACCACCGAGAAGGCCCGCGCCATCGCGGAGGCGGAGGAGCGCAGCGCCGCCCTGGGCGCCGCCATCGACAAGGCGCGGAGTCCGCGGAGTCCGCGTCCGCTTCTCCCACGAATTCGGGGGGCCCCCAAAGGGGACAAAGGGCTACTTGGCAAAAAAGAGACAGGAGGGTGGTGAAACAAGTGGCTAACTACTGGTGGTTCCCAGCCATCCGGTTTCGTGGCTTTTTTGCGTTTTAGGTGGTTTAGTGGAGGTGTCCATTAAACCCACGAGGAGTCTTAAGCTTTTAGCAGGGATCTGAGGACAGCCCAAGGTTGAAACCACAACGTTGGTTGTTATTTAGAGGGGAGTCGAATCAGATTCCAGGAAAATTACGAACGGTGGTGCGAAATGGATTTCGTCCATCCACAGTCTCCTCTGGAAAGTGTCCTTGGAGTTTGGGGGATGATCATTTGTGGAACCACGGGGACGTAGGACTTCACACCACTGGTTTTCCTGTTGGAGTCTCATGTTGTGGGGAGTAGAGTTTGGTCCCTTGTTTGTCTTCTTGAGTAGTTCTTCGGGGGTGGAGCAGGGTTGCTGAAAGATAACATTTCGGCCAGATTGAACATCACACAAGACAGCTGATTTGCATCCCCCTGTGAACCAGGGGCTGTTTTGGATGTTTTTTTTTCCCCTTTTCTTTTTCTTTTTTTTCATTATTTGTCTCTTGTTTTTGTTTCTTTTTTTTTAACTTTGGTTGGTCGATTCCTTTCAAACTTTGAGGCCTTTGGTTCGCTCTGCATGATTGCCGGGGTGTTCTGATTGATTCGTGGCCATTTGAGGTGGGAGCTTCCGATGTCCAGAGAGGTCTCGGGCAGGTCCCGGGGTTGGTGGGGCCCCTTTGCCATAGCCTCCAGAACACCCATCCCTGCCGTCCAAAGGGGCCCTTCCGCGCCATTTGAGGCGGCTTGAAACTTTGCCATTCTGAACCCAGGGACGCTCTATCGAGAACCACACTCCGGGCAAAGCTGAAGGAAAATGAGAATGGGAAACCACACCCGTCAACACAAGAGTTCTCACATCACTCCCCAAAACTGTGGCGTTCCTTGCTGGCAAAGGGCTCCCTAGAATGAATTTCAACCCATGTTTTTTTGTGCCGCAGGTCCCCCCGCCCGAAAAAAGGTCCATCACGGGTTGCTCCAAGACTCTAAGCACGATGAAACGCGCCAGGGTCGAAACTATGTTTTTCAAACGTTTTCCCTTCTCCAGGACCGCGTGCCGTTGCCTTTGGAGCAATGGGGTCAGGATATGAATGAAGATGGCTTTGTGGGCTACTTTACCAGATGTAGTGATGTTTGTTAGATTGAGCCGTTAATTCCAATCATGATCTACCACAATTCCACATGAGCAAGCTACTTGTATCGCCCCTATCAGACCATAGTTAGTTTCGTTCATCCGGGCACCCCACCAATTTATGTCACACAAACATGCCCTCTTCCATCAACGCCCTTTTGGGCCGTGCCATGGACACCCAGAGTCTATTTTGCAACCATACCCTAAAACAACCAATACCCTAAAAGAAGGAGGTTGCAAAATAGACCCGTTCAGTGTCCACCATACCCCTCCCCCAGCGCCCAGCGACAGACCGACAAACCGCCAGGCCTCCTCTGACGTGGACCAGCTGGGGGCAGAGATCGAGGAGCACGGGCAAATCATCGACAAGACCAGCGCAGCGCCTCCGGCAGTCGGTCAGTCGGTCGACCGTCGACCGGGTCGGTCGGTAGCTCGATCCGGCGGCCTGGATAAAAATGTCTTCGGCTGTTGTCAAAACCGTTTTGGGATCCCATGTTTGGTTGGTAGATGAATTCTCACCACCCATGTTAGAACCTATTTTAGTGGTTGGATTGGGATGGTCACAGGGGGTACGGGATTTTGACCCATGGCCATGTTTGCGGGTGTGTGTGTGTGTGTGTCAAAAATTCCATAGCTGGGGGTACGCGGGTTGTCCCAGCTGCCCAGTGGTGCCCCTTTTTCCTCTTTTTTGGGGAAGGGTTCCCTTCAAACTCAAGCAAACCAAAATAAAGGATGCCCTTTTTTCCCTCGGCCACTGGGCATCTGAGTTGTAGGGTTCCTTTTTCTGGATCCCTATTTTTGAGCCACACCCAAGTGTCCCGGACCATCCTTGCTCCGTGATGACCTTCCTGTTTTGGGAGGGGGTACCCTTTTCCGACCTGTTCCAGGGAGCTTGTGATTGTTTTTTGTCTTTAAACCAATGCTACAAAAGGGGAGTTGTTGAGAATCCAGTATTGAAGGTTGTTCACTTTTGTCACGCTGAATTTGACAGCTTGCAAGGGGTCTTGAAAGGGCGTTTCCCTGCCCCGAAGCATGTGAAGGGCCCAATTGCTAGCATTGTTTGCCGTGGGCTTTAAGGGGGTCGCTGTGATTCGCAGTTCGGGTAGCCTGAATATCAGATACTATTGCTTTTTTGGTTATTTGCGTCGGACCAACAACACACCCAGGTATGGCTTTTGGGTAGACCATGGGGTTCGCAGGTTCAACAGGAAACTCACTGACTGAGACTTCAACTGCCGGAATCCAACAATATTTGTTACTGTCTTTTTGGCTTACCTTGAACACTATCCAAAACAAACGGGACAAGTTCAGGAAACAGTCCCAAAACAAAACGGGACAAATTCCCCCAAAAAACGGGACCCTCTAAAAAGGGCACCCTCCAAAAGCTCACAACACATCAAACCAAACCGACCATTCGGCTGAGGAGAAGACCGAGGCCAGCTCCGTGCGCGAGAAGGAGGCGCAAGAGAGATCTGGGGGCGGGACCAGAAAGAGCTGATTGCTTCCCCAGAAGTAGCTCCCCTTTTTTTTCTTCTTCTTTTTTTGCTGTTTTGGGGGTCCCTTTGTTTTCCACTAACCAGGCAAAAAGGTGTGTGTGTGTGTGTCTATATATATTTTTATATATTGTTGCTGGGGTCCTAATTCCACCCCTAGCTGAAAGTCTACTGCAAGGAAGCTCGCGCTGGCCACGGGAAGCGGAGATGTTGAAAGCCCTTCAAACTGTGGGCTGGGGTTTCTTGGTACAGTGACAGCAGGAAACTCCCGTGAAGGCCACGCTACAGGAGCGCACAAAAGATAGCGAGCGACTTCGGGCTCAAGATGATGACGCGGGAATTCCTTAGTGCAGATAGGTGGATCATAATGTGGATGGACCAAATCCACGCAAGCACCAGTGGGGATGGATGAAACCCTATGAACACTAGGATACACCTACATCCACGCACAAACTGGTGCAGGATTGTGTTTATCCACTGCCACAGCAGTTCAACTGTCTCCCACACCCCCATTCTAACGATTCAGGACCTTATAGTATGCGCCTTTCTTTGAGTTCGAACGGTAGCGCGTGAAAAGAATGGCGGCATAAGGCAACATACTAATATGATGAACATGCTTAGGCTTCAACGGCCTCACCATTGCGCCAATCGGGCAGAAACAGGCGCCCGCTTTCGTAGCTGAGATGAGGGATTTGCACCACCATGGTCTAGCCCATACAAAACGTTCATTTTCCCACAAGACAAGGGAGCATTCCCCACAAAACAAGGGAGAGTGCCAGTGTCCCATAGTTGACAGCGCGAAGGCTAATCTCAAGTTGCAAGAAACCTAGGTCCAAGTTGCAAGCCCCGCAGCGCTTGCCGTGGCAAGAATTCGGCGCACATGACCGCAAAGAGGAAAGTAATCATGGGTTTCGCAGCGTGTAAATACAATACACACCAACAGAGCTGCCGGGAGCCTCAAAACAACGACCAGACCACGACTTCCCTGTGTGTTTTCTTGGAAAGAACTCCCCTCGGCAGTTGGCGGGTTCCCCCCGTACAGTTAGTGGGTTCCCCGCTACAGTTGGTGGGTTTCCTTTGGTTTCCATCTAAAAGGCATCGAAGCGGCGCCCCGATGTTGACAGACCCGCCGCAGCACAGGCGGCCGACTTTGCCGAGACGCTCAAAGACTACGTGGCCGCTTGCTTTGCAGATTTGCAGAGCCAGTGGGGCTCAACAGCGGGGTTTCCTTTGCGGCAAGCCTCTTGAGGAGAGACATTCGGACCCCGTTACTCTCGAAGAACAAGCCAGGTGAAGAAGCTCTTCTAAGAAGCTTCGGGGCAGGGGGGACCTGATGTTTTTTGTTTTTTTTGTTTCTCCTGCACGTGGCAGAAAGTGGTCTCCTTCCGACACTGCATTGATGTCTTAAGGATTCCTGGATTCCTTTTTTTGTTTGCTTCTCGAATTCTCCAATCAGGGAACCCAATGTGTGTTACGACACCCCTCAGGCCTGTAGCACAACTTGACATATGCAAAGCGTTTGGCAGGTACCGGAGTTTGAGCGTTTTGGTGAGCTCAAGTTGCACAAGTCGCTAGGGACCCAGACAGTGGAGGAAATGGACATGAAGCTAATAAGAGATGCCAGGAACAATGTTTGATTTTATGATTCACGAAATGTATGCCCGAATCTAAACATATTGTTCTTATGGTCGGGGGCAACAGCTGAGATAGGATGGGTTGGGCACAAGAAAGTGGGCAGTGGGGTTCCCAGAATGAAAGAAGGTAAGATGCCGACGTCCACAAATGAAAGGCCCGTTTGGGGGGTTCAACCTGATGACAAACAGCAACCTGAAGGGAATGTTTTGCTCAAACCACAACTCTCGACTGAAGCAGATATTGCTTCAAATCCCTAGATCCGCCAGAATGTGGCATCTTTTAAAACTTGGAGCTCACTTTAGGCCGGCTCTCTCCGGGGGACAATATCGGGAAGCATGATTGGTCCAATTTCCCTTGCTGCCCAATAAAGTCCCGACAATGGGGCCCCAATAGAGCAAACGCGACTACTCAGGCCGATTCGGGGCTTTTTGTTGGGTCCTTCTGGGTGACGGTCCGATGCCTCTTGGGCTGACCATGAGAGAATTAACTGCCCATTGGGGCGGTAGAATAAGCTTTTTCTGAAGACTAAACCCAGGACTCCATCACGGCCATCGGCAAAGCCATGACGGTGCTGAAGGACTGGACATATGTCATTTTTTTCCCTTAGGGCCAGTCACTGCCCCACCCCCTTCCCGATCTTTTGCTTGTTCCTTGGCAATGTCCTGGCAGAGGTCTTCATGTTTCACGTATTTTTTTTGGGCCAAGGTTGATTGAGTTACCCAGCGGACTGCTTCTTGAAAACCTTCTACAGTAAGGCCACTTGAAGGAACATTCCATAAGAACCTTCGTGGCCAAAGCTTTGGCTGCTTTCCTGGAGAAGCTCACCGGCTCACGGACTCGATCTGCTCCTTGACGGCTCCATTGGGTTTTTGTCCATCTTCGGTTGCCCGACTGGGTGCCCGGTATTTGCTCGACCGGAATCATCAGTTGAGCAGCTCTAAAAAACCCCCGTTACATCCCAAGCAGGAGTGGTGTCATAACAAGGCCCAGCCAAACCCTGCACGGCGGAAGCCGGCGTAAGCACTTTTTGGGGAAGCATGCTGCGTAAGCACCTGCGGAAGCTCTTCTTCGTGATGCTTGGTAAGCTTTGTAAGCATGCTTGGAAGAGTTGTTTCACACATGTGCTTTTGTGTTTATTGGTGGCTGGTGCTGTTGCAACCTACTCGAGCTTGGCAACTTCCCCGGCGACTTTGGCGGCAGGAAGACGTCTAAGACCGCATGTGCGCACCAACCGAAAACAAAACCAGCAGAACTTTGATTGGGAGCTCTTGGGGCTCATGCTAGGTGCTGTTGCAACATTTAGGACAACCAAAGGCTCCTGAGACCGCTGGTTTCGGAAAACTATGGGGGCTCGGGCGCGGAAGCTCGCCTAAGCAGGCGCGTAAGCAGGCGCGTAAGCGCTCGCTTAGCTCGGCTGCCCGCCAGCCCTCGAGATGGATGCCGCTGCCGCATAACCCGTTTCTTGACTTGCAATAAGAACAATGACACCAAGCCGCTGAAACTCGAAGGTAGTTCTCGTCATCTTCTTCCTCAGAGTACGTCATCTTGAACAGTTCAGGCGGCTGCATGAGAAAAGGAGCTCGCGTAAGCAATTCTTGAGGGGAAACGCTCAAAACGCCCACGCGTAAGCGATGCGTAAGCTTAACATGCCCGCTGTCTGCCGCGTCCGCTAAAACATGGGTCGCGTAAGGAAAGCGCAAGCTCGCGCGTAAGCAACTTGATACGACATAGGGATTCATGGGAGGTTTGCAGAGTAGCTCATTTAGGGAATTTAGAGACCCCCCGCCCCGCTTTTCGCAGTTTCTGCCTGGATGGCACTTCTGTCGCTTCCCCTTGAGACCCCATACTTGCTTCGGTTTTCACCAGGAGCAGCCAAGCACGCGGCCGCAAGCCCTGTTGCAGCTGCAGCAGAGGCCAGTTGAATCGTCGAGCGGGTTTTGTCATTGAGACCTGCGAGTCTAGTGTGGCAGTAGCTGCTTGGCGACTGGGGTGTGTGTGGGGGTGTGTGTGGGGGTAAAGCTTTCCTCAGTGGGGATCAAGGGATCAATCCCACTTGAAGCGCCCTGTTTACAGTCTTTGTCTTTAACGAGTATTCGCGTGTGGGGTTGCTGAAAGGGAAACGAACAGGAAGACACTTTGAGGGTTCCACAAGTGTTGCGGTGGACACTTTCCGCACACCAGTTGGCCCGTCCTTCCCCCATTTTGGGGGTTCTTCCGTTTCCTTAAGAGTAGGTTTTGTTTCCCCTGTTGGTTTTTAAGCGAATCTATGACTGAACTGGACATATTGTATTCTGAACATGTGATTTTCCAGGGACGTATTCGCACATGGAGGAAACCCAATTTTTGGGACAGTGGCTCCAACCTGCAGGGTCGACCCAAGCTGGGGCTCCCCGATGTTTTTTTTCTCCCTTGAGGATGGGATTTTTAAGCATGGCTCTAGGGATAGTGGAACGCAACATAATCAAGGTTTTCCCCCTTGAAGTTGTTTGGTGTGTTTAACACCACTCCAGGGGGTAACTTCTTTTCTGGGATCCTTCTTTCCGGAAAGTGTTCCTTCTTTCCGGAAAGTTTGGCGGGGACCTGCGAATCACGTCCAACAGGCTGGGGCAACAAAGCATGGTGTTCTTCCCTTGGACCCTGGCAAGCAAGCCAAGAGACGTGTTGCAGAGCCCTCAACTGGCGAAGCGGTTTTGCTGTTTCCCACACACCGGGTCAACAGCTTGTTTGGACCAAGTTCTCTCCCAACGGCTCGATGACAAAGGCTTTCCTGTTTCCTCCCGTTGACTCCATGACAAGATGGTTGTCCTACTGCTGAATCCACCAGCGACCCCAGGTCTTTAGGTCTTGATTCCAATTGTTGGGGAGGACCCACCGAACAAACAGGACATGGGTGCCACTGAACACTTCGGGTGCAAACCATGGGGGGGAAATGCCAACTTCAAAGCAAGGGACCCACCGAACAAACAGGAAATGGGTGCCACTGAACCATCGGGGGGGCGGGGGGGGGAAATGCCAACTTCAAAAAGCAAGAGACCGAGCCATGCAGCCACCACGCACCCTGGTGGCCCTTAGCACGGGCGCTTAGCTTCCTGGCCATCCGCAGGAAGCTGAGCCCAAGAGAGGCTTCGGACTACCTCAATGCCTTCCTCCATGGCGTTGTGCCTGGGAGAGATGATCTTGCCGTTTTTTTTCTTGAGGCTCCCCTCCAGTTTTGTGGGTCTTTGAAGGGAAGCCAAGAGGAAACACACACACTTAGATTATTTTTTCGGAGGGGTCCCCTCAAAAAGATATGTGCGTAGGTGTTTTTTGGAGGGTCTCATCTTTTTGGGCTGGTTTCAAGAAGCAAGCCAAAGCAAAAACACGCCATCTTGGGGGATCCTATTTTGATACGTACCCATAGAAAACCCTTCTGGGGGTTGGTTTTGATTGCTCAGGCCACGATTGTTAGGGGGTCCAAATACCCATTTAGATATATATCCAGATACCAAGCACAGGACTAGCAAGTGGGTTATCAGCCAGGGCTTCATGAATTCCGTGCACTCACTCACTTCGTCTCCCAATAACATTAGACAATTGTGTGGGGCGCTTGCATTTTGCAGGGAACTCCCCAAGCTGACAGCTGACTTCCCATGATGCTGCCAGCCGCCAGCACAAACGCCAAGACAAGCGGCCGAGCACAATTGAGCAAAGGCAGAGACGTGAGGGTTTTGGGCCAATGTTGATGTCATCGCCAATGGAAGGCCTCCTTCCACATTCGACACTAGAAAAATGCAAAACAAAAGAACGACGTCCAGCACATGGGAGTATTGTTGTCCTCTCCCCAAGGCTTTTGGCGACAAAGGTACGCTTCCCGTATTTCCATGTGGACCCAGCGGAGGCTTTTTCCAGCCAGAACTCTTTGGAACGATGTACTTCCTGCACTCCTGCAGATTGACAGGTACCCAAAGACCATCGTTTCTAGATTTCCTTATGTGGTTGAGGGGTCCTTTTTGTTTTTTTGGGGGGGGGGGGTAGGGGTGGAAACACCCTCACAATCAACCGCCAGGTTGACGAAGCACGGGATCAGCATGGCCAAAGTTTATGGGTTTTCGCCGACCCCTCAAACCCGCAAACTCCTAGGGCCTCAACTTGTCAACCTGAGGAGCCAGAGAGGAGGAAGGGCCAGGCGCAAATGGCGCTCGTGGCAGAGGCGGGCCGGCGATGCGCGGTGCTGATTTCACCCACAACCATCAAAACGTCCAAGGCCTTGTGTCGCGTTTCTAAAACACAAAATGGGGAAACTCCAGCAAGTTTTGTTCAGGCATTTCGTGTAAGCATAGGCGGACCAGTGGAACGACAGCATGATTGCATGTTCCTGATCTTTGAGTCGTGTTTTGGATGTTCATGCCTTTTTGTTGCTCGTGCGCACGCATATACATGATTTCTGGCGAGCGCACCTGGGGTAGAACGAGCTCACAACTTTTGAAGATCCTTGACTTGAGGGCTCCAATTCTTATTCAGCTGTTGGGTTGTTGGGCTGTTGCTGAGCTGTTGCTGAGCTGTTGCTGAGCTGTTGCTGAGCTGTTGCTGGCGGGCTGTTGCTGGGCTGTTGCTGGGCTGTTGCTGGGCTGTTGCTGGGCTGTTGCTGGGCTGTTGCTGGTCTGTTGCTGAGCTGTTGCTGGTCTGTTGCTGGGCTGTTGCTGCTGTTGCTGGGCTGTTGCTGGGCTGTTGCTGGGCTGTTGCTGGGCTGTTGCTGGGCTGTTGCTGGGCTGTTGTTTTGTGTTGCTCTTGGGATTATAGCCAATGCAGACATATCCACACTTT